TGTTGTCTGGGAGATGGGTACTGGGGAGTCACCTGCTGCACTACATGAGAAAGGGGCTCCCATTCACCCTTCCCTTCCTCCTGAGTCCCTTTGTCTCGTCTGTCCTGGCTGTCCGTGTGTGGGTCACTCCCTGGAATTCAGAGTCCCTGAGCCGGTCCTCCACTTCCAGGCCTCCCTGAGGGTCCCCCTAACTCCACCTGGGCTGCCAGGGACTGGGGCCAGCTGGTTCAAGGCCATCGGGAGCTCTGCCTCCCAATCTATCCCTCCCCTTCCTGGCCTCCCTCACACCCCTCCTCCCTGCCCTCCTTGGTTTTTTCACTTCTCCCTCCTTTTGCCTGTCCTCCCCCTTCCCCTCACATTTGTCCCTACGTCTCACCATTTTTCCACCTTCCTCCTTTCTCCCTCTCTTACCTGGCTCCTATGCTGTGATATATATTTTTGTATTATCTCTTTCTTCTTGTGGTGATAATCTTGAATTCTTGTGGGATGTAAGTTTCAAAATTTTCAAATAAAGCCTTTGCAAGATACTGGAGACCCCTGGTTCTGCTTATGAACCCTGAAGAGAGGAGAGGGAGGCGGCAACAGGCAACCAAGAAGGGAGGAAAAGAAGGATGGGGGGTTGGAGGGAAACCTTTAAGATTCAGTGTGAACTGGTCTGCTCTGACCTGGAGTTAGGGTTCCTGGGCTTTTTTTTTTAAGGGGGGGTAGGGGCAGAGGGAGAGGGAGCAAGAGAATCTTAAGCAGACTCCCAGCCCAGTGGGGAGCCTGACGTGGGGCTTGATCTCATGACCCTGGGATCATGACCTGAGTCGAAATCAAGAGTCAGGCGCTTAACTGACTGAGCGACCCAGGTGCCCCTTGGGCTTTAACTTGGGAGAGAATGGAAGGGAGAAACTGAAGGGAGCAGCCAGAGCAAGAGAAACTAAAGTGGCTTGCTTGTTACTTGCCAGTGAAGGTCAAGAGAGACCATGAGAAAGGAGACAGAGAAAAGGGACAGGCAATGAAGCAAGCAAGAAAAGGAGGAGAGAGCGGATAAGACATATGGAGAGTAAGGAGCGAAAAGAGGAGAGAAAAATGGAGTAAAGAGGAAGAGGTGAGAGGGGAGGGACCACAGGAAAGAGGCTGCCCTGCTTGGTTTATTTTCTGCCTTGCTCCCTAACTCACCCCCATCTACAGCTGCCCCCCAAAAGCTGTGCAGCATTAGAACCCCTGTGGTTAACTCCCTAGCTTTCCCCACACTGCCCTCTCTGAAAGAGAGGCACTGCTAGGGTGTGGGGGTGGAATCAAGGGGTATGTTTGGGGGAGGGAACATAGGCTGCCCAGCTGGGATCAATCACCTCTGAGCCCCCCATTCTAGGTTTGGCTCTAGTGACAGCCCTGCAAAAGCCCACACATCAGCCTCTCAGCTGTTGCTAGGTTCTGTTGCCATGGTAACCACCCAGGTCCCATTTCTCCCCCCCGCCCCCATCTGTGCCCCACTTGCTCCCTGGAAATGGGGAGCTCCAGGGAGGAGACTGTAGTGAGCGAGTCTGGGCTGCCCCGGACTCTGAATGCCTCCAAGTATTTATCTTTGCAGCTAGAATTAGGAGTGTACAGGTGTTGGTAGGTGTGTGTTTTAGGTGTTGGGGAGCTTTACTGTCTACTCAAGGAAGTGTGGTTGAATCCATATAGCACACAATGGTGAGTGGGGAGGAGGGAGCATATTTGTCAGGACCAGAGCAGTGTATACTTTCGGGGCATCAGTCTCCCTGAGAAAAACAGAGTGCTACAGAGGAAAAAGGCAGAGCAGGGGCAAGGAGTGATGAACCAACTAAAAGCAGAGGTGCAAAGCCAACAAGCTGCTGAGGAGGGCTACGGGTCAACCCAGTGGGGCCTGTAGAGATCCCAGCAGCAGCTGGTGGAGGGAGAGGGCTGGATGGAACATGAGGGTGCAGGAAGAGGTGCTGAGGACATGGGTCGGGGGCAGTAAGGGAGAGATCTGAGGTGGATGGGAGAAGAAGCCTCACTAACCTTTCCCTTCTTTCCCCCCAAGAATCTTGTCTTTGTCAGGTGAGGGGGGGTGCAAAAAGGAGCACTGGCTTAGAAGGGGAAGGAGCTCAAGTGCCTGGAGAGCACACTGGGGCTCTATCACCCTCTGCAACTGTAGTTCTTCTGAGGGACAGTGTGACCCCGAGGCTCATCCATATGCAAAAGGCATGCATGAAGGCCCCTAATGAAGAGGGAATTAATTATTGCCTGATTAGCCTGCTGTTTCTCTAAATTTAAATAAATTAGAATACACCACCAAGACACTGGGAAATCCTCACCTGTTCCTTCTCCCTAAATGCCCTCCTTCCCCATGGAAAGTCAGATGGCAGGGAAAGACAGGAGAAAGGAGACGTCCTAGTCTTCCCAGTTGTCCTAAAGGAAATATCCCAAACTACATCACATTGTCAGGATAACCACGAAGAGTTGGGAGGCCCTGGGGAACAGATCCTAACCTCTATCTCTCATGAAACTGAAACAGACTATGGGGCCTTTGGAGGTCTTTGAAGGTTGCAAGAGGTAGAGCAGAAGAGTCACTGCTTAGTGAGAGACCAAAAATACAAAAAAATGGTCACACTACCCTTTTGGTTCTTGGAGGCCACACATCACAAGCACCGCTGGGACCAGCATCTCTCATCACTGTACTTTCTTTGCCTCCTGAGCTGTGCATCAGATGACTCAGCCAGGCTTCTCTTAAGCATTTTTCTGGAATGCTTACCATTATGGCTCAGACCAAACCAGGAAATGGGGAAGCCCCCAGGAGGAGGGATCTCCCAGGCAGAGCTCAGGGTGTGGAAGTGATTCAAGATGGAAACAGTGTGCCAGCTGGAAAACCCCAGGCTAAAATTAACAGCCCTCCTCCCCCTACGCCCCACATTTATCTCTAAAGCTCTTCTGTAAGGAGTTCAAAGCACTTAAAAAACTGGCTTCTTATAGCAAGGGCAGGAGCAGGGCTGACAGTTGGGAGACACTGAGGCTCAGGGAGTACCAGTTAATGAAAATAGGAAAAGAATAAGAGGACCACCGGGACTTAGAGTGATTACTACGATTTTGCTCCCACTTCTTTACCTCAGCCCCCAAAGTCGACATTTCTGGAATTAGCCATTTCTAACCCATGCAGCAACTAGGTCTGGTCACATCTGAGCCCTTAAGATCTTATCCTGCCAACTATTGCTATTCAGTTAACACAGACTGGGTGCAGAGCCCAAAAAACATGGTTGAGAGAGTAGACACTTCCAAAAGGATACAAACTATAATTACAATCCAAGGATACATATCTCCTATTTAAACCTTTAACTTAGGGCGCCTGGGTGGCTCAGGTCATGATCCCAGGGTCCTGGGCTCGGGCTCCCTGCTCGGCGGGAGGCCTGCTTCTCCCTCTCCCACTCCCCCTGCTTGTGTTCCCTCTCTTGCTGTCTCTCTCTCTGTCAAATAAATAAATAAAACCTTTTTAAAAAAATAAAAAAATAATAAACCTTTAACTTAAATGTTTATTTTTAGGTGTTTTTTGCTACTTCCTTGCTGTGAAAAAAAATCACTTAAATCTTCAGAGTCTTATTTTCATTATCCGTAAAGAGAACATTACAATTATTTTTACTTGCGTTATTTTGCTTTCCAAGCAAGGGGCTATTACTGTTAGTAGGAAGGACTTCAATTCTGCTTCAGCCAAAATAAAGCTCAGCTCAAGGGGATTCTGGCCTGATCAGGGTGCAGGCAGCATTCATTTACTCAAATAGCATATATTTATTCAGCATCTGCTTCGTATTCAGCAAAGCAGTGGGAAGGATACCATGTACGAGACCGTTTCTTCCCTGAGAAACGGACAATCTTGCTGAAGAGTCATATATATGAAATAGTACAGACTAAATGCTGTGGAAATTCAGAGAACGGAACCGTTATGTGTTCGAGCAATCCCGTAAGGCTTCCTGAAAGAGTTCATACAGTGTTCATTTATGCAACAGACGTTTACTGACCACTTACTAAATGCCTGGCTCTGAGGATACGGCGGTGAACAATTCAAGGCCCTTGCCCTCATGAAGCCGATATTCCAGCAGGAAGAGGTGGACAGCAAACAATATAATATCAGGGGGTGATGAGTGCTCTATTTAAAAGTGGAGCAGGGTGAGGAGATAGAGATGTGGATGGGGGGCAACAAGAACATAGAGACCCAAAGCCAAGAGTACGTGGTGTGGTCAGGGAGAGGTTATCAGTTACTCTTGGGGCCTAAGTAGGGACCTCAGAAAACAACTGACACATCCTCATCCTTTCCCGCAATTCAAAGCACTGAGATATTCTTGAGAGTATAACGAAAAATAATGGTAACTTCCTACATCAGTTTATTCTACGCTGAGGGAAGGGAAACGGATCCATAGCCTTTTAAGAATCCCTACCTGCAAAAAAAAAAAAAAAAAAAAGAATCCCTACCTGCCTTCCCCCCACACACACACACACCCCACCCCTGGCCCCGTACCTGATGCATAATTCATAAACCTGTCGGCTTTCACCCTCCCACTTCCCCAGAAGTCCCTTCCGGAAAGCCGGGACCGCAATTTTGAAGGTTCAGCTTCTGCCCTTAGCGGAATCCGCCTTCGCTTCCGTTGTGGCGTCACATCCACACAGGACTCTATCGCGTCCCCGGGCAGAAGCCACTTCCGCCCCTACTTGTCGTAACTTCTGCCCTGAGTATCCCGGAGCGCTGGCAGCGCCGGATATGCTCTGCCGCTCCCGGAAGTGACTCGACCTTTGCATTCCCCCCTTTCCCCTTTACCGCCCCCCCTGCATTGCCATTTCCCTCCCTCCCCCCTTTTCGTTTCCGGCGCTCCCGCCTTCTCTCCGCCGCAGCTCTACTCTGAGTCTGTTGGGGGGAGGGAGGGAGGGAGGGAGGGGGCGTGGAGGAATCGGGGTTCTCGGGAGCACGAGCTGCAGCACCACTTCCGGGTGAGTGTTAAGGGAGGGAGGGCCGGAGGGAGGGGGCCACCCACTGCCTTGCGCCCCCGCCCTGCGGGTGTCTCGCGCGCATTCCGTGCGTGTGAGTGTGTGGGTCTGTCTCGCGCCGAAAGTGCGTGCCCGCGCGCTCCGCCTCGCGCTCTCCCCCCCTCCCTTCGCCCCCTGCTGGTCCTCCCGCCCCACTCGGCTCCCTCCTTTCCCAGCAAACGCCGCCCCTCCCGCGCTCTGGCTCAGGCTCTGGCGCCGCCGCAGCCGTCGCCGCCGGGTGAGTCTCGCGCCGCTGCAGTCGGCGCGCGCCAAGCTCTCTGCTCCTCCCCCCTCCCCTTTTCCTTGGGGGGGCGTGGAAGGGGGGGGTCCTCGGTGTGACTGTATGTGTGTCCGTCCCGGAACCGGAAGTGGTTGTGGAGGAGCGGGCGATGGGGAGGAATGGGGGGGCTTAGGGGGCGGGTGTCTGTCTGGTGGGTGGCAGAGTTCAGCTCCCTGGAGGGGAAGGAGGGACGTCCCAAAGAAGGGTCTTTGAGGAAGGGGTGGGGGGTGACATCAGGAGAAGGCTCCTAGGGACTGTCTCAGGGTAGCGAAGGTGTTTTGGGGACAGCTGGGGTGTCCAATAGGTAGACCCCTGTGCAGGCTGAGGGAGGTACTTCTTGGCGCAAGGCCTTGGGTAGGCAGGGGCGAAGTCCTCGAAGAAGTGGGGGGGAGGCCAGAGGAAGTGGCTGGGCCTGAACTGGCACTGTGCCTGACACAAGGGCTTGTGCATCCCCCTAGTCTTCAGCTTTGCCTTATGAGACAATCCTCAGGGGGCAGGGGCCCATCTCTTCCTCCAACTCCTCTGTTCTCTGACTCCTGCTTACCCGTGGCCCTGGGGAATGAAGAAGAGCCAGTGTCTGAGCCCAGGAGTGGAACCCAAACACTGGTGATAGAGTTCATCTTAGTTCCTGGGAATTGGATTTATTTCCCTTGTATCCACATAGTGGGTGGCACTACACTCCTTATTATACCATTGCATCTTTGGATTTTGGGGGTCTGCCTGCCTTCCAGACTGCTGACAGTCAAAAGAATTCCTGAGGTTCTCCACAGTTCCCTGGTGGCTGCACCCTTACTGGCCCCTGTAACCCAGACAATTTGTTTACAGAAAGTTCAGGAGCCCTGGAAAGGAGAAGGAATAAGACGACAGGAGGAAGAGAGAGAGAGGGTAAGACAATTTTGGGTTAATGGCTTTTCTGGTTTGGGGGGAGAAGGGGTCATAATTAAATGGGCTTCTTGGGGACACTGTGACAGAATTCTTCTAGTAATAGCAATTTTAATACTGGTGTTTGTTGTGAGAGAAAAATGATCTCTTGAAGATACACAGGAAGTTTTTGTGTAAAAAGTTAGCACTGTACCCCATCACTTTCCATTCCCACCAGTATTCAGAAATGATTTATGAAATGTCCAAGTGAAATCACTGAATAGGGTTGCATTGTGTCCAAAGGAGAAATTTATTCTGCTTTGGGGACAAATGGGCCCCGGTTGCCAGTGTAGTCCTTGTGGTATAGCTTATGGAATTGCTTTCCTGGATTTGGAAAGAGCAGAGTTTAGAGTGGGGTTCATACTCTTAATGTCACAGAGGAGTGCTTCAAGTGGACCTGTTGAATGATTAGAATCAGTGACACAGGATTATTTTAGTTTGGTGTGTCAGGGTGAAGTTTTCAGAAAAACAACAACAAAAAACCAACACCTGGTTTGTGGGTAGTTTGAAGTAAAGTGGATAAAATTGTATGGAGTGAACTTCAGAAGTAGGTCTGGAAGAATTCAAAATAATGAGGTTTGATGGTGGTAGAGTTTTAGGTAGTCTGAAAATGACAATGTGAGACCCAAAAGAGTTTGAATTCAGAGCTTATAATCCTAGAGATGTCTTCTAAGGATCAATTCCAGTCTGGTTTATAAAATTTATTCCCCATAGGCTTCTGAGCCAAGTTGATAATTAAATATTAAGTGCATATTTCCTTTTCTCCAACTGCCCCGCCCCCTTTTCCCTGCCCACTTTTTTTTTTTGCCTCATATTTCCCAGAACCATCATTTATAGTGAAGTAGGCAGGACAGGGACAGGGGGAACCACTGTGCTCTTCTTCCCACAGGGTACTGGGTACCGTGATCCAGCAGTACCCAGGGTAGACATTGCTGGCTCAGATTGCCAACTTTGTGGTGGTAGTGGTCCCATTGGTGTGTTTGGGCATGGTGTGATGGTCTTTCCCAGTAGAATTGGGATAAACCTGTTCTGGGTTATTTTGTACTTGGAAGAGTTCACAGATGGTAGGAAGGGGCCCCCAAATTCTATTGGGATGGCCCTTGCTGAGTGCCCTTAGAACCTAAGAAAAAGATTTTGTTTCCTTACTGAAAGAAAAATGGTTCTCTGTGTTTCTTCATTTCAAGTCCTTAGCTAATATTGCAGCCTTTCTGCAGTTGTGCATTTTGGAGCAGTTTTTCCTCTGTAGAGTGTCTGAGGTCCGTGGGTCAAGTTCTTTCTGTAGTTGAGTTTGGGTTGGTTGTTCTTCGCATCTCTATTTATTGTTGGTGCTTCTAGTTGATGATTACTGAGCTGGAGGCTATAGACCTGATACTCTTGGGTAGTACCTTTGTAATTATATGGTCTTTATGTAATTGTCAGTAATTGTTACTAGTAGACCTCGGCACATGGAAGTATTTCCCTAACTCTCTTCCTTTCGGGAGCACTGGAAGCATTTTATTTCTTTTTCTTTTTTGAGCTGCCTCCCATCACCATATGCCTTATGAATTTGTTTTAAGGGGTTTATTCTCCTCCATCCTCTACCCAAATAGAAACTTAGTAGAATAGTAAATTATTCAGAGTCAACCACTGATGTGGGACCTAGAATTAGATTCCAGAAGTCTTGATTTCTAGGTTCATTCTCCAGCTACTATACTTGGTTGGCGCAAGTCTTTCATGATTTTCTCAAGACTTGTTATGTTAAGAGAATATTGCTTTCCTGAGGAAAAATTGGGCTTTATTTGAAAAACAACAATTTTTTTGAATGTAGTAAGTACCAGGAAAGAGACTAGTCTTTTTACCATGTCTACCAAAACCACATGCTGCAGGCGGTGGCATCTTTGTTCCTGGATGGCTGGTCGCGCTGTGGAAGGATGGACAGATGGACAAAGCTCTGGTGCAAGAGTTCAAGACTTACTAAATGTTTCGTGGGTGTTACTTAATAATTGTCTTTTTTCTTCATCTCCTCAGTGCTTCCAAGATTTTTTTTGAGATTGGAAAAGAAATAATGTAGTTCTTTGACCCTCTTGAAAGAAAAATACTGTTCAACTTATAGTAAACCTTCCTTTTTATTAACAGAATGCTTGAGGTATTCTGCAATAGTAAAGTTGAAATTAGAACCCAGATTTTCAATCTGCCAACATTCTTCTTTCTACTTACTATGTTTTTCTTTCTTTCCTGCTCTTTGGGTCTGTAATAAAAGCCTTCTACTTTCTTCCTAATCTAGGGTAAACCAGTTCTTTTTATTATCATTGATATGTTGGCATAATCATCAAAACTGGCACTCTGTGTAGAAATGGGGTTTCCTCATAATATCATTGGGCTTCTTCAGGTTTTAAGAATGTTGGTATATGCCTGCTTGGATGTCGGGATGGTTTGGGGAGGAGAATTATTCCATGAAACATAGAAAGTTAAGAGGTTAATGGACGGTAAAAAGGTATTGAGTGATCTGGCACCAGGAGCGCCCTGTTAACACAACTCCAGGGGGCGCCATTTACATTGTATTCTGGCAAGAGCCTTCCTTCTTGGCTCTCCATTTGATCTCCTTTCAGGGATACAGAGATTGAAGTCAGCCTTTTTAGAACAGTAGTATAGCATATAGGTGTCATTTTGTAGGCAAATATTGCTTCTAGTTGGGTGAGCAGAACTCTCCGTGTACCCCCTTCTTTGGGGCAGACATGTTTATCGGAAGCCCACAAGGCACATTTATCATTGTGTCCTAGGAACAGCTGTGGTTCTGATCTTCAGCTTTGTTCTCTTAAGGACCAAAGCAGAGGATAGCCTGGGTATCCAGGGAAGTGGAGAGGCCTTTTATTCAGACCACCCTTTGGATGGTCTGGCCTTTTTACTCAGATTCCATTATTCTAAAATCAATTACCTTGGTGGCCAAGTGAGGTCTCCCAGGTTGTGGACAGAGAATATCCTCTTTTAACTGCATTTTTGCTGTTATCAAAAATTTCACTTTTGGAAACATTTACAGAGAACTATCTCAAAAATGCCTAGTCCATTTCTGGAAATGCTGTAAATTTTATTGATGTATCAAGTCACAATATCAGAGTGTATGTACTTCAGTTGTAGGGTTCGGGTCTCTTGTAGAACCCCCGTTCTTAACTTCCTCTTTGGTATCTGCATTCAGATCCCCGCTCTAATATTTACTATTTGACTCTGTGACTCCAGTTTCCTTATTTGAAACGTGGGGATCCCAGTACCTACTTCATGGAGTTGCTGTGGGGATCAAATGATGCAGTCGTGAAGTACTTCGAAGGGGCTAGAACAGTGCCCTGAACACAACGAGCAGTTAATAGATGTTAGTGGTGATGGTGGTGGTGACATTGTCTTGTCCTCCACGTCACTTTGTGTGCCCCCTTTGTAAGAACCCACAGGCGCTCTTTCTCTCAGAAAGTGTTTCACCTGAGCCACTTGTAGGGCAATATGAATGGATCTAATCTTTATTGGCAGGGAGAAGTGTTGTGCTTCCGGTAGGAACCCTATCAGAAGACATTCTTATTTTCGGGCTTTTGGTTCCTCCCTCCTAAATTTTCACATCCCTAATGTGTTTACTTCCTTGACTCTTTAGGGGGAGATTATAATTAGACCCTCCTTCATTACTCTGCAGCCTAATTCTCTACTTCATTGCCACCATATGCCACCACTCTTGTCTGTGTCACTTCTTTCAACTAGAAGGTTAGAGAGATGGGGGTTATGAGTTATGGTGTGAGCCCCCTAGCATTGTTTTCAAAATCTGTACGTATAGAGTTCACTGTCATTCAGTCCATTAAATATGGACTTGCATACTGGGTGAGGAGTCCTGTGTTGGAGACCGTGGGGAGGTCCAAGATGGGATCCCTGCTTCCCAAAAGGCTTAGCAAGATTGGATCGCCTTAAACTGTGATCTGATCATTTCTTGATTTCTGTCGCCTAAGAAGGACCTGAGGCCCCTTTATAAAGTTAGTGCTGGAAGGAAAAGGTTAGCACCAGTGTTGGAGACTGTTCTGATGTATTTTTTAAGTTGGGGAGCAGGATGTGCCTGTGGTTGATTTCTCGAGTCAGTTAATATTGAGTCTTATTTGTGTGAGGTTGTAGTCACAGGTTTGGTGCATTCCTCTCCTCTCCTTTGCTACTTTTTAGGAAAGAGTAGGCTGCAATTCAGTTCTGCTTCCCTTTATAGGTTTTATGAAAATCGAGAATGCTGTTTAATAGAGCAAAAAATGTGATGAGATTTCTGAAGAAGGAGAAGGAACAGGGTTACTTTTAGAGTGAAGTCCCTTCTGTTTCTCCTCCTTTGTTAACAGATTTTCCTAGTTTTCTTAATCTACTTCAAACCCGGTTTCTGTGCCCAGTGTACCCTCCAGTACTTAGCAGCTCTGGTATCCGCCTCCAGCACATCCTCAGTGGGACCCACTCGTGGCTGTAAGTCACAGGTCCTTCTTCCCCACCTGAATCTTGGTTACTTCTGGTTCAGAGTAGCAGCATGATGATAATGTTTATTTCCTGCTATTCATCATTTCCCCATTCCAGCAGTCTCATACTCCCTCTTCACCTGCCTTCTGCTGGGCTGGATCTTTCTGGGTCCAGGATTTGGGGAAACTACTCTTGAATAACTGTCATTAACGTACTGCCTTGCTAGGAGAAGTGATCAGAGTGGGAAAATGGTGGGATGCCTAGATTCTGTACCCATCTGTGACTTGCAACATGATTCTGAGGGATTACTCGTCTTGCTTATTCCTCCCTCCCAAAGTTTTAAGCTTAATTATCATCCACACACACGGAAGAACTTGAACTCTCAGAAGCATCGTGTTTGAGAATTACAAAGCAGGAGTCTAGTACTGTGTTAATGTGTTCTGGTCCACTCTTGTCCCTTTTCTGAATCCCTCTAAGTAGGAATCTGGGTGCTACTGCTACTCCTGGTGCTAGAACGTTCTTTTAAACTGGTGATTGCAGGTTCTCACTGCTCCGTTCAGCATGTGTAGTACCCAGTGCAGCACCATGGATGTTCTTAGACCTTGGTGGGTTTGGGGGGGGGGCATGGTCCCCAGGTATCATCTGGCACTGATTGTGATTCCTGCCAATTTCATTCTTTAATTCCCTTGGGCACTTTGTGTTCTGGCCTAGAACCTTTTCAAGCTGCATAGAACTACAAATGTGTCATTTGGAAGGCTTAAAATGTTTTATTTCAAGGAAGATGGATCTGTGGGATGAAGGAAAAGAGGAGCCCGGGATAGGTACCCTGGCTGTTATTAAGTCAGTCAGTGATTTACCCGCGAGTGGGTACATCCCTTCCCTGCTAATGACTTGACTTTCTCTTTTTGTCACCAAAGGAAAGTATTATCAGGTCTGTTTCTTTGGGTTATGGGAGACATTCTGTAGGTGAGATGTGTATACAGGTTCCTTCATGGGCATCTTACGTAGGATAGGCTCTGTTGGTTTTCATGCTGAGTGGCTCTCTGGGACTAATATGGCAGATCCTGAGATCTTCACTCTGAATTCCCAGCCCTGTGGTCAGGTGCCAAAGAAGGGGCCAGGAATTCCTCAACTGCCCTTCTCCGTTGCTGCGTTTCTTCAGATTTAGTCCTGAGTGTGACGTGGTTTCTCTTTTTCTCTTCAGGTAGAATGGAAGAATCTCACTTCAATTCTAACCCGTACTTCTGGCCTTCTATCCCCACAGTCTCAGGACAGGTAGGTGGTGTTTGGTTTTTGCTCCTTCCCTTTCACGTGCTTTTTTCAACTCTGAGCAGTGAGTTCTATTACTGTGGAGACTGAAGCAAGATAAATCACGTGCTGTTTCACCAGGTCCCCCATCACTGAGAATTATAATTTCTGTCCTGGCTTCTCTCTGGAAGCACAAAGATATATACTTCTTGATCTCCAAGGAGGACAGACCATGCAAAGTGCTTAGGGAGCAGACAAAATCAGGCTCTTTCTGAGGAGACCGCTTGCCTCCCCTTTGCTTTTCTTTTAGATTGAGAACACGATGTTCATCAACAAGATGAAGGATCAGCTGCTGCCAGAGAAGGGCTGTGGGCTGGCTCCACCCCACTACCCCACCCTGCTGACAGTGCCTGCCTCAGTGTCCCTGCCCTCAGGCATCAGTATGGACACAGAGTCCAAGTCAGACCAGCTGACCCCACATAGCCAGGCGTCCGTTACCCAGAATATCACCGTGGTCCCTGTGCCGTCTACAGGACTGATGACTGCTGGTGAGCCACTCTGCTCTTCTCCAATCTGAGGTGTTGATCTTCCATGATCAGTACCCCAGGCTGGAGGGCTCCAAGGACATGGGGAGTGGGATATGTGTTTGATTACTCAATCACATTTTTATTAAGTGCCTACTGTGTGCCTAGCAATGCGCTAGGCATTGTGGGGGATACAAAGAAGTAGAAGATGCGGTCCCTGCCTTTGAGGAGGTGACATTCTTTCCTTCTCTGAATCAAGGAGTCTCCTGTTCTCAGAGGTGGAGAAGAGAAGGGAGTCAATCAAGGGGTAAATCTCACTGTTAACTGGGGGTGGGGTGGGGACAGGGGTTAGGAGACCATTATTTTTCTACAGGGTTTGGGGTTTCCTATATACTCTGGGCTGGGAGGGTGGTGGTGAGGGGTTGGTTAGACAATGATCTGGGGGAAATTAAATAGGATCAGGACTGGACAACATGACACCATCTCCTTTTTCTCCCAATCCTAGGTCCTGGTTTGGTAATCACGTCCCCCTCAGGCTCCCTTGTGACCACAGCCTCATCAGCTCAGACCTTCCCCATTTCGGCTCCCATGATTGTCTCAGCTCTTCCCCCTGGCTCACAAGCCCTGCAGGTGGTCCCTGACCTCTCCAAGAAGGTAGCATCAACCCTAACAGAGGAAGGAGGCGGAGGTGGTGGTGGAGGTGGCAATGTGGCCCCTAAGCCCCCTCGGGGCCGGAAGAAGAAGCGGATGCTGGAATCAGGGCTACCTGAGATGAATGACCCTTATGTCCTCTCCCCCGAGGATGATGATGACCATCAGAAAGACGGCAAGACCTATAGGTAAGGATCAGAGCCAGGGCAGCAAGGGGTGAGGATCACTGTCTCAGCTTACCTACCCCCTTTGTGTCTTGCCCCTAATCAGGCTCTACGCGGACAGCTTTCCACCTCAGATCCACTTGCATGTCAGGTGTTCTGTTGTGGAGCAGGAACGTAGAGCTTCCAACTAGCACTTCTCTAGTGACTCTTCCCCAGGACGCAGACCCATTGTATGCCTTCCTTTTTGGGGTTGTCAGCATTGACTAATTTTTGAATGACTTAACGGAGTTTCTTCCTTATGATAAGGCTTTAGACTGGATTTCAGACTCCGTCTCCAGCTCCTTTGTGCTTTCTACACTTTCCATTCCTATTTCTCTAAGAAACTGTTCTGATAAGCCCCTAACCTTAACCTGTGTGCCATCCACTGGTTCTTGGGCCATATTTGAGTGCTGAGACTGCCTGACCCTGCATGGTTGGGGTGATGGGAGGGGTCTGTATAAAAAGATGGGAGGAACAGGATATCGCCCTTCCCCCCCGCCTTGGACTATATGCTTATGAAATGCCTGTTTGCTCACTTTCTAATTCATGAAAGTCATTTTGATTCTCTACTTCCTTTAAGTTGTCCATTGCCAAATAGTCTTATATTTGCATGTGGCGCTATACAAAAAGAATTTCAGAAGCAAACTCCCTGCCCTTTGACAGTTGGATGTCTTTTAATCCCTTTGAAAACTATCACGGGCCCTAGTGGGTTTGGGAAGTCTGGTCCCAGGTTACAGAGTGGGATAACCACTGTCACAGCTTTGATGCAGACAGGGGCAGATGTGCATGGCTGGGAGACTGGGTCTGTCCTTAGTGTACCGAGATGGGCAATGTTGTTCCCATTTTAGGAGCGAAGGGAACTGCGGCACAGGAAATGGACAGAGCCTTGGGCTCATGGATTCAGTTCCCGGCTCCACCACGAACTTGCTGTGTGACCCTGGGCAAGTCCTTTTCCCCTCTCTGGGCCTCAGTTTCCTCATCTGTAAAATGGGGAGAATTCTGTTTATGCCTCCCACTTGTTGGGAGTATATATATCAGCTAAGATTTGAAATGTTGGGAACTTCAAAAGACAGAAGCAGTAGTTGTCATTTAGCATTTATTTGTATTTGTGTTGTACACATCTACTGTGGAGAGTAGCCACGACTACAGAGTGTTTAAATTCCTCTTTGTAAGTGAAAATGAGGGGAGTGTTGCTATGCAGAAAGTATTGAGCACTGCAGAATTCCAGCTCCTAATCCGAAAGTTCACTGCAGCTTTATTATTACAGGTGTATCCCACTTTATACAATAAAAGTGTTCCTGGAAAATGTTTACATCATATTTTATAAAGGTACCTGACAAGTTTGATTCATTTAAAAGCATCTTTTATATATCATTTTACAAAGTGAAAATCCCTTTTATTTTGTAGAAATCTGGATTTTTATGTATTTGCTTAAAGTGAGGTCACTGTGACATGGAGATACACCTCTAGAAAATGTGTTGTTGTGAGAGTAATGGGCTAGGTCTCTGACACCCTTTGGAGCTGTGCACATGGATCAGGGTCCTCTGATTCTGCCAAGCGTTTCTTTTTGTTTTTGCTTTTGCTTGTTTATTTTTTGGGCCCACATTAAAGCTATCTCTGGACTTCCTGAACTGTGTCTATGGGAAGAAATGTGAATATACAATTGGAAGGAAGCCCTGGTAGCATTTTCTACACCCTTAGTGTTTTTGGAATTCTTGACTGGCCCCCACACCCAGGTGACTAAGGAGAACTCTGAAATTAAGGGCGCCTAATTATATTCTGGGTGACTGGAATTTCTTTAGAAACTCAGAACTCTGAAGTTCCAAAGGGACCCCCCATTTATCATGTGGAAATGTTTTGAGGGAAAATCAGAGTATCTGAAATTGGTTTTGACTATCTTAGGGAAAAAATGGGGTGATTCAAAGTTGATATTGTAAACAGGGTCATTGCATTGCATGCCCCAAAAGGGGCCCCATTCTTGTGTTGGATGTGACTGCAGCCCCCTGGCCTTGTGTGCCTAGTGAAATGGGGTGGTGGCTTTGCTGTCTCCTGCTAACTGCCCACTGCCACAGTGCTCCTAAATCAAGATTTCTTTCCAACCACCCAACACCTTGCATTAAAGGACTTGTGCTCTTTTATCTGGCTTCATAGGATTTCAGAGTTGGAAATAACTTTAATGGTCACCTAAGCCAGCCCCTTCTCTGTAGTTTTAGTCTTCTAAACATTCCTGACAGATGATAGTCTGCCTCTCCTTGAATATGTCTGTGAGGAATCTCAAATTAGGTTAGAATCATAGCTTTGTGTAGTGAATAACTGTTTGCCCTTTGGCAAATTACTTAACCTCTCTGAGCCTTCAGTGTTCCTTTCTGTAAAAGAGGGATAATACTTGCCAGGTTGTTGTGAGGAGCAGAAACAATGTGTCTCAAGTGCCTAACTGGTGTGGGGGCCTGGCAATATCTGGCACAACAAATGGCAACTATTATTATGGTTATTATGATCGTCATTTGAGACTGCTTATTTTGTTGCCAGTCCATTGTCTATGGATTTAAGTTTTGCAGATTCTTCTCTAGTTGAAAACTTGGATAAAGAGGGTTATTTTCTCTTTTGTAGTTAATTTCATACTAAGGGTGCAGTTGTGTGTTCAACACTCACACACAAACTATGAGCTTTTGTTTGAGTTAAAATGAATGTGTTGTTCCACCTGTCTGAGAAATTTTAGCAACCAAGGAAAATTATGTTGTAACATTAGTTCCGTTTCCCCTCCAAGTGGCAATGTGTCCAGTTTCTAACCTCTGTGGAACATTAGTAGCATGAGCTCATCCATGGACACTGGTACTGTTAACATTTGTGCAGTTTTATTATTAGAGAACACTTGGCTTACCTTTGACTGTTCTGTGGGTTTGCAGGCCCTTCTAGGGGAAGATATTTATCTCTCCATTTTACAGACCAGAAAATTGAGGTCTAGATTGATGAGCAAGCCTATAACTGAGCCCTGAGTAGAGCCCAGGTGTCCAGACTTCCATTGGCTGTGTCCTTTGGACTGTACTAAACTATAAACAGAACCTGTGCGCCTCCCATATAATGGTTGGGCATGCCAGACGATAGCCAGGGATTGGCGAACTGGGAATCAGATTTTCTTCAGAGTTTTCAAGTGACCAGAGATACAGGAATTGACCTTAATGATCAGAATTTCAGTAGAAACATTAATAATAGAGACCATACCCCCAAATAATGTAATATTTTTTCCTCTGAGGAGTGCAGAGTTCTTTTTAGTCTTGATCTCAGTTATTCTCTAAAAATTCTCCTGGGATCAGAAGAAAGCAGAAGTCGTCACCCCACACCATCCCGAGGCCAGATTATAGAAAGAAGTTGGGGAGGAACCAGAGCAGAGGGACTTTTTCCCCAGTTGCCTGGCTTCCAGGTGCTGCCCTTCCTACCAGCTCACACTGTGCACTGCAGAGTTGTTGAGGAATGAGAGCATTCCGGCTCACACACAGATAACTCTTACTCGATAAAGTCTGAATAGTTGTGGCTTATCTTGCTCAGAGGCCTCCTTATTTGATACTGTTGGGCAATGTCAGAACAGGAAGGATTACCCACTCAGGTGATGGGTGAAAGTATATCAGCTGCTTATTGTGTCAGCCCAAAGTGCTGACTTTGGCTCCACGTGCTAGGAAAGAGGAAAGGTTTAGCATGGAAGCTCAGTGTTTCACAAATCTTTTCCTCCTAAGTGTTTGAGGGGAGACAGCCCACTCCCAACAGTTACCTCGGCTCTTTGCAAAAGTAGTTCTCACTTGATGGCGAAGGGATTCGGGGGTGGAGGCAGCCGATGGAACACCAGATCCAGGGTGTAGGCCAGACATACGTGATTTGGAAAAGCCCCTCCAAATAATTCCGATCCTTCTCCACCCCCATCCCTCTAGGAATCACTGGCAAAAAGGAAGTAGGAGAGAATCTGAGAGAAGGCAATTATGTGAGGAGACAGAAGAGAAGTCCTTCTGGAGAGTATAGTCAGTTTGTCCTCATTAGCATCTCGGGAACTTGAGAAATACCCAAGGCATGTCCTTTATAGATGGGAAGTTGGGGAAGGGAGCCCTTTAAAAGTCTGAAATCAAGTTATAGGCAGAAGGAAAACAGAAGTTAGTTGATAGCCCTGCCTCAGTGGAATCCACATCAGCCTAGAGCCGATGATAAGATTTACCTGTCTTTTCTGGTTGAATTTTTGTTTCTCTACACACTTAGGGAGTCAGATCCTTCGAACATTTATTGAATATTTGTATTGTGTGGGTCCATATGAGAAGCTTAGACTGTAAAGATCAGCAGAACAGCTCCTCCTCTCAGGGCCTTACAGCATAGTTGCAGTAAGCGGGAGATCAGATAGGCTGGCTTCTGTGGAAGCGGAGGGAGGGTGCGGCACCCTGCCAGTGGGAAGGTTCTGACCACTGCCCTTGCTTGGCCCAGGTGCCGGATGTGCTCACTGACATTCTACTCAAAGTCGGAGATGCAGATCCACTCCAAGTCCCACACCGAGACCAAGCCCCACAAGTGCCCGCACTGCTCCAAGACCTTCGCCAACAGCTCCTACCTGGCCCAGCACATCCGTATACACTCAGGGGCCAAGCCCTACAGTTGTAACTTCTGTGAGAAATCCTTCCGCCAGCTGTCCCACCTCCAGCAGCACACCCGGTAAGGCTGCTCTTGGTTTTACCCTGCCTCCCGGCTGCGAACCCCTACCCCTAAGGCCACGTTGCCTGAGCCTACTCTTCTCTCCTCATGGTTTCTCTTTTCCCTTTCGACTTGGCCCTTTGGGAGCCTCAGTTTGCTCTCGTGACTGTCTATGAAAAATAAACTCTGTATTTTAGCAGTTGGCGGGGGCCTGGGCAATGGTGGTCTCCAATCCCAAAGTCTGGAATGGTTTTTGTGGTTTCTCTCTGTGTCTGTGTTTGGAAATCTTCCGCAGAGCAGGCCCTGCTTATACTATATGCTTCAGTTCAGAGCCAAGGTGTGCATTCAACTTCAGGTCCATGGGGAGCAGGCGGTATTGGTCTTTGTTCAAATTACTATTTGGAAGCAGGGTATCTGTGGTGAGTGCTAACCTTAGAACGAAGCAGAGGGTTGACAAGACTGAAATCGTTAAGGTGACCAGAAGCCAGGGGTCGCAGCTCTTCATCATCTCACTGCCATTCTAGCCACCGACGTAAGATCAGCAGCAACCTAGATCCGGGTGTCCTCGTCATTAGCCTCTCCAGGACGGAGTGTGTTTGGGAGGAGGGAGGAGGGGGTGCTGTCATCCGTCAAGCAACATCATTTCACCCAGCAGAGAGCTGAGCCCATGGTGTCGAACTGCTTCCTCCTCCCCCCTTCCCTCCTCTCCTCTCCTCTCCGGCAGGATCCACTCCAAGATGCATACGGAGACCATCAAGCCCCACAAGTGCCCGCACTGCTCCAAGACCTTCGCCAACACCTCCTACCTGGCCCAGCACCTCCGAATCCACTCGGGGGCCAAGCCCTACAACTGTTCCTACTGCCAGAAGGCCTTCCGCCAGCTCTCCCACCTCCAGCAGCACACACGGTAAGGGAGAGTGGCGGGCTACTGCCCCCGCCCCCGCTGGCATGCCCTCCCCACCCCCGCCCCGGACACACACAACAACCCGCATGCGGGGGGCGGGGGACAGACCTGGCTGGAGGAGAATACGACCGGCGTCTGGGAGAAGAAGCAGCCACGACCCTGGAGACACAAGCGGATGCTCAGAGAGAACCTTTTTGGGGCACAAGCGGCGTGGGGGAGATGCAGTGACTGTGTGGCATTCCCTGATGCATGGGAGGAAGAGACGAACCCGGGGCAGAGACATCTTCTGCCTTCATTTCTCTCACTGCAAACACCAGAGCACACATCTCGCAAGATTTTTTTGTCCTTGGTGCCAAAGCAAGGGCGTTTGATTGGAGAAGACCGTACCGCTAGCCCTTAGGGCACCAGTTATGAGCAGAAGACATAATTGGCCTTGAGCTGGGTACCAGCCTCGTGACCCCTACAGCAACCAGCAAGGTTCCAAGGATGCCAGGAGTAGAGAACAAACCAAAACATGTCCAAAATAGTCACAGAGAACTAACTGGCCAACAAAATGAAAAAGCTCATACTTCATAAGAATGCCCACCATTTGTCCCGTGAATCTGGAGTGACTAGGAGGAATTGAACCTGCCAACTGGAAGAGTTGATGTCCCTCAAGGGGGTATCAAGTTGAACTGGAATTCAGACTTAACTGCTCAGAAGCCTTCTCACCTGGCTGCTTCTGGATGTGGTGATTCTCCCTCAAAGGGTTCAGACATCTTGCTTTGCGAAGAGGAGGAGTCGGGCTTTCCTCACAAAGAGACACGTCTTGTGACGTTTCCAACATTTTATACTGGAGGTCCAGAAAAGCACCTGGTTACAAAGATGGCTCTGAAGTCCCTGATGAGGAGCAGGTGTCCGCAGACCCTCAAGTCCTTGGCTCATCTCAGTGGAGGGTCCTGTAGTGTTTGGGAAAGAGGTCAAATTGGTACTAAACTAGGCATTTCTGCCCTTAGGGGGCCGGACTGGGAAAAGCCCCACGGAGTTTCCATGAGTATTAATATCGCTGCTACTCTCCATAATTAGCATAACTCTGCTTTTCTTTGATTCCAAAGCTTTTTCTGGGAGCAGTGTTCAAGGCTGAGGGAATAGGTTTTGGTTGTGTGGTGGGGGCCAAGGAAGAAGTGTTCTATGTTTCTTTTTCCTTACCAATGTGTTTACCTTATGTTTCTGAACATTCATTAGGGACAGCTACTGTAGGAGCTGACTTGTATGTCAAATTATGGACTGCCTGTGTCTTGGCTGCCAAGCCACCAGTCCCTCCTCCCGCGTCAGAGGAGCCCAGCTTGAGCTGAGTGACGGAGGCAATGAGCAGAAATCAGGCACTATGGCATGATCCGTGTCAGAGAGGAGCTGAGGCTGGGACTTCTGGAACCCAGCTTGTACTCCCATAGGAGGGCAGGCGTGGCCTTGAGGAGGTTGGTTAAGGAGCACATCCCTGAGTGGCCTTGCTGACATCCTTTCCCTTTCTTCTTTTCTCATCCCATGCAGAATCCACACCGGTGACAGACCATACAAATGTGCACACCCGGGCTGTGAGAAAGCCTTCACACAGCTGTCCAATCTGCAGGTAAATGTTCCCCCCCTCCACATGGGGCCTTGCATCTAAGACTTGGGTCAAAGTGCCATTTGACTAGTACAGTGGTTCCCGGACTTTTTCAGGACCCCTTTACAGTCTTAATAATTACTGGGAAACCCAAAGAGTTTTTCTTGATGTAATACCTGTCTACACAGAGAACATGAAACTGAAAAACTTGAAAAAATACTTAGTAATTCATTAAAAAATAACAAACCTGGGCGCCTGGGTGGCTCAGTTGATTAAGCGTCTGCCTTTGGCTCGGGTCATGATCTAAGGGTCCTGGGATCGAGCCCTGCGTTGGGCTCCCTGCTCCACAGGGAGTCTGCTGCTCCCTCTGCTCCTCCTCCTCCCACTCATTTGCTCAGTCTCTCTCTCAAATAATAAATAAAATCTTTAAAAAAAGTAATAAACTCATTGCATGTTAACGTATATAACGTATTTCCAAACACACACACCCCAAAAATTGAAAGATTGGCTTTTTTTTTTTAGAGAGAGTGTGCGTGTGCACAAGCGGGGTCAGGGAGGGGCGGAGAGAGACTCTTAAGCAGGCACCACGCTTAGTGTGGAGCTGAAAGTGGGGCTGAATCTCATGACCCTGAGATCATGACCTGAGCTGAAATCAAGAGTTGGATGCTCAACTGACTGCGCCCCTCTAGAGAAAGATTGCTAAGCAATGATTATCTTACTTTTACTTAAACATAAGGCAAAATAACCTGCAATCTGGGGAGAAAGATTTCATTTAGATGTTTTCCATTAGACTGCAGCACGTTTTTAATGTTTAGCTTACCAGAAGATGGCTAGATGCTCCTACCTGCTGTGCTCGGTCTTTGCTACATTACACGTTACGTAATCTCTGTACAGTCATGAGAGAATGAAAAGGCAAACGTGGTCTTACTATTATTTTGAAAATAGTTTTGAGTTTGGGGCCCTGTGGAAAAGTCTTGGTATTCCCTAAGCATCCCCCCATGCTTCACTTTGGGAGCCACTGGGCTAGTGGGACCAGCATAGCCGTCCTCCCTTTTCAGGTGCCTGGGATGTCCTGCAGGAGCTGTGCCTCTTGCCTTAGCCTGTAACTCCTCAAGTTTTATTGAAAGCAGTTCCTGCTGCCTTCAAATGGAAAGAGAACTTGGGAGGCTGACACCCCAGCTCAGGGCTCTGGCATTAAGGTCAAGGAGGCAGGAAGGATGAGTCTGATGCACTCATCCTGATTTCTCCTCATTTTCCCAGTCCCACAGACGGCAGCACAACAAAGATAAACCCTTCAAGTGCCACAACTGTCATCGGGCGTACACGGACGCAGCCTCCCTAGAGGTACACCTATCTACACATACAGTGAAGCATGCCAAGGTGTACACCTGCACTATCTGTAGTCGGGCATACACGTCGGTGAGTGCTCATGCCAGTGCCTGCCCTTCACTTCCCCGTAGGCCTGCAGGACCACACAGTCCACTTCACCCCATCTTCCCGGAGAGAAGGCTGTTGCCTTGAAAACGCTAGCTCCCTAGCTCCAGCTCGTCAGAATCCATAAAGAGAGGCGAAATTAAACAGATCTATAGCTAAGGAATTTAGGGGGTGCCTGATCCCTTAAGGCTATAGAGAAAGATTGCTAAGCAATGATTCTTAATTTCACTTAAACATAAGGCAAAATAACTTGCAATCTGGGGAGAAAGATTTCAGTTAGATGTTTTCCATTAGACTCCAGGAAGAGGTGGTAAAGTCGTTCCACTCAAAGATCTTTGGGGAAATGACAGTTTTCCCTGTGCCAGTTGAATGCCTACCGTGACTCTGAGGGTCTCCCTCTCCTTCCTGCCCAATAGTGAGCACTGACAGAGGCTCCTGGGGAGAACTTGCCCACAGCTCCAGAATGTCTCTGTTGAAGTATGGCTCTATTTAAAGTAAAGTAAGAGCCCAGGATGCTAGTTATAAGTAACCTCTTTCCTTCTCTTTCATCCCTCAACTCTTCTTCTCCATCTCCTTCAGGAAACGTACCTTATGAAACATATGCGCAAACACAACCCTCCTGATCTCCAGCAACAAGTGCAGGCGGCGGCAGCGGCGGCGGCAGTGGCCCAGGCTCAGGCCCAGGCCCAGGCTCAGGCCCAGGCTCAGGCTCAGGCTCAGGCCCAGGCCCAGGCTCAGGCTCAGGCCCAGGCTCAGGCCCAGGCCCAGGCCTCCCAGGCCTCCCAGCAGCAGCAGCAGCCACAGCCACCACATTTCCAGTCCCCTGGGGCAGCCCCCCAGGGTGGGGGTGGCGGGGACAGCAACCCCAACCCTCCACCCCAGTGTTCCTTTGACCTGACCCCCTATAAGACGGCGGAGCATCATAAGGACATCTGCCTCACTGTCACCACCAGCACCATCCAGGTGGAGCACCTGGCCAGCTCGTAGAGACCTGTGCTGCCACCCACTGGGAAGAGGGGAAAGAAGTTCTGGTTCCTTCTTTCTCCAACTTCTCTTGGTGGGAAAAGTCTTCTTCCTTGACAGGCCTTGGCTCCATCTCCTTGGGCCTCAGGCACGGCCTTCCTACACAGGATACCATGCTTATTCTCAACTCCTCTTCAAAAGGAACATCAGCCCTCCTGATTGGCAAAGGAATAATGAGCTGGTAGTGTAATCCAGCAGCCTCCCCTTCTAAGCATAGCTTTTCGAAATTGGGGGTTGGTGCTCAAGGGAGGGATTTGCTATGACCTCATAGAAACTTTTCCAGTGTGGGCACTTACCCTCTCGTTACCCTCATAATCCTCAAAGTTGGGGCTCGTGGAAGACTAGAGGCTGGTGCTCCCAGATCTCTGAGAGAAGGGAGCCCTGAATGCAACCAGCCTCCCGTTCTATTCTTGCCTGCAAAAGAACAGAGGTTTCTCACATGCCCCAATCCCCGGGAGCCGTCTTCCCCTCATGGTCTCACTTCACTTCCTACCTAGTGCGGGAAGAGGGAGATCTGGGTGGGGGTCAGACCCCCTTTATTTGTAAAGGGGCAAGGGCTGAGATGTGGTCCCCAAGGGGCCGGAGATCCCCATAATGGTCAAGGGTGGCTTAGAAGTGTGGGTTATGGTTTTCCTTGGAGCCTCTCCCCTTCTCTGCCAGCCAAGGCCCCATACTCAGTCTCCCAATCCCAAAGCCAGAGGAGCTGTGGGAGCTTTGTGTTCTTTATGAAAGCCCAAAACAAGGGGTGTTGCAGAGAAGGGAGAGTTCAGGGCAAACACAAGGACTGGACTTAGCTCCCTAGGTGCCACGGTCAGTTGCCGGACACGGATTTATATATAAATATATATATAAATATATATATATATACCCACTCATCACGGCCATCTTTGTTGTAACCATTTCTGTGTTTATAAATGCATTATCTCTGAGAATTTTCATATTTGATGTTTTGTTTATTTTTGTCCTTATTGTTTCTCTCCACCCAACCCTGTCTTCTGGCCAACGGCATTTTTATTTCCTTTTGTCCTTTTTGTTTGTTTTTAAATCATGGCAGATTTCAGAGAAAAGAGAAAATGAAAAAAATCAGGAAACCAGTTGTTATAAAGCAATTTAAAATGAAGAAAAAAAAACTTATGTACAAACCAAGGGGTGTTTTTAGAACCTTGTATAGAAATAAATTCGTGTAAAAGGATCAGAGGCAGTGGAGCTGCTGATATGAGCGAGCATGGGAAGAAGCTACCTGGGGATATGTTCAAGGACAGTACTAAGAATTTACACTAGAGTGTGTGTATGTGAAGAGTGAATGCTGTGTGATGAGACTCTGTGTATGTATCCCCAAGCGTAGAAGGGCACAGCATTGATACTTGAAGTGAGGTCTTGGTTTATGAGGGTTTCTACATACAAATTCTGTCGGGGACTGCGATGCCTAAATGTATGAGAGCAAGGTTTCAGTCATGTGTTGGTAAAACCCATGAAAGAAATGGAAGCATGCCCTTTTTTTTTTTTAATTTTATTTATTTATTTGACAGACACAGCAAGAGCAGGAACACAAGCAGGGGGAGTGGGAGAGGGAGAAGCAGGCTTCCTGCTGAGCAGGGAGCCCGATGTGGGACTCGATCCCAGGACCCTGGGATCATGACCTGAGCCGAAGGCAGACACTTAACAACTGAGCCACCCAGGCGCCCGAAGCATGCCCTCTTGAAAGGGCCTACACTCCTGCCTGAGCATCACCAGCTCAGGGCTAATTCCAGCCGGCAGAGTGCGTACATATATCTATTATCCATATCTGTAGGTTTGCAGTGGTGGGAGCCATAACCAGAACTGAGTAACAATGCAGGACAGTTGTAGTGCTTGAAAAGTAGAATGTGGTGAGGAAACCTGGACTTCAGCCCTGGCTCCACCGCCAAGCAGTGTTCACGGAGAGGCTTCTTCCGCTGTTAAAAGAAGGGATCGGACTAGATCGCCTCCAAGATCTGTTTTTGAGAATTAAAGACCTTTAAGCACTGAAAACGTTGTGACAAATCTCCAACATCGAATAACATGGCTATCTGCGTACTGCTGGGCAACCGTGCTCATGACCTAGAGGAATGTGGATAGTCCATGAAGTAATAATGCCCACTTAAGTTTTGGGCTCAGCCAGTGTCTTGGGTGGGCATCCAAGACCTCTCAAGCTGCGCTGTGACACTAATGAATGTATCATCTATGATGAGACATGTCAATGTCTGCTAGCTTCCTGAATACTTTTCTTTCCCCTGCTCTTGCCAATTGCTGAAAATGTCCTGACTGCCCTATCTTCACCACAGCTATTAAAACCAGAATCTACTCTTTTTAAGGATTCACTCACAATCATAGCAAGAACTCTTATGAGGTAGGTACTACTAGTCTCAATTTATAGAGAAGGACATAAGCATCGGAATTAAATTGTTACCCAGGGGCATGACACTTAAGAAGTCTAGATCCAACTGCTCTATCTTACCACTTGCTCAGTAGTAAACCTGAGGTTTCATCTTCCCCTTCTTCACATATTTGGTTTAAATGAGGTGACTGAAAATCATTAAAAACGCTGCCCTGTGGCATTGATAATTATCACGAATGTGTGAGTTGGGGGTGGGGGGGACAACAGTCTCCAAACGCTATCTTACTAACACCACTATTAAGATATGGGCTTTGAGTTGTTTCCCCAGTGTGGTGGCAGTCTGTCATGCACTTGATTGGTTTCCATCCTGATGTAGAGTCCTTCTCATTGTACCGTAGCTGACTAGGATGACAGCTGGCCCACTTGTGACAGAGCTCCGTGCTCCAGTCCTTTCAGAATCGTGGTGCTAGTTAATGTCACATATAAACTGGAAAACAAAAAAAAGCGGGGGTGGGGGGATAAAAACAAGGGGCAAGGCCAAAAATACTATGTCATTTTATACGTGAGAATGTATTCGAGTGTGAAAGGACGGGAACCCTGACAACTGTGAAGAATTACAGCTTTATTGTGTAAGTCTTTGTATTTATAAGTACAGTTTATAAATAATCCTTTCTTTCCAAGTTAAAAAATAATCCTGGGGAGCCGATGTTCGTGCGATTGAAAAGAAGTGCGGAGGGTTTAAAGCTCGCAACACCAGCTACGCCTCCCTAACTTCGTTAAGAAACTAGCTACCTTGAAGAAAGTCTTGATTCAGCCCGGACCTGCGGTGGTCACTAGATTCATATCCTGCAAAAAGGAGCAGAGTCCCCAGTCGCTGAAAAGGTATATTTATGGAATACTATCCTAAAGAGACAAGGGGTTTTTTTTGCCTCTCATTACCACATATCCTGGTTTTGGAGGGAAAAAAAAAAAGTTTGATAGGGAATGCAAAATGGCGACCCGCAGTGACGTCATGCCTGCTTCGGTCGCGTACTGGGGTCTCAGTAAGGGCGGAAGCGTGCTAAAGCCACCTCAAAACACCTCGGCACCGGCCGCCCCCGCTACCTACGCAAAAGGGAAAGTTTCAACGTCGGGCGGATGTGTCCGGGCGAATAATTTACTGAGGGCGGAAGCTCTCCTTTTAAGGGCGGAAGCTCTCTTTTAAGGGCGGAAAGGCTCCAACCCAAGGATAATAGCTTCAACGCCTGTTGCGTTTCAGTCACTTCCGGGGCGGATGGGAAGTTGCTTTGTTTTGCTTCAAGATGGCTGCGGGGATGTATTTGGAACATTATCTGGACAGTAAGAGCAGGCTGGAGGAGGGGGTCAGGGGTCATAGAGTGGTGGTGGGGATCGGGGCTGAGGAGCTGTACGGCCCCGAAGTCCCGGTGGTCAGAAAGTCACAATTGTGAAGGGGTTCCGTGAGAGAAAATATTGGAGGGTGTGAAGAAAGAGGGGGCGGGGCAGCAGGGTCGGGGCCTGGCTTTTGGGTGTAGACGAGGGAGGGGCTGCGCGGTAGGGCTGAGGGGATGTCTCTGAAGGGCTAATGGGCAGAGCTGGGAAGGTATTTGCTGAGCCCATCTCCAGGGTCTCCAGCCTCAGGATATTCACACACACACACACACACACACACACACACACACACCCCCCACAACCGTTTAGGATCGGTCGTTTTAGTATATCGACCACTGCTATTTGGAGCAGCGACAAAGACCTGCTCGCAGCTCCTCTGCTCAGTTGTTTCTGAGAAGCGGTTTCTCTTGGGGATCGCGGGTTGTGAGTGACCACTGTCAGATAGTAAAACTGAAACGCTTCTCTTCTTGGAGTAAAGATCCAATTCCTATCAAATGGAAATCTGGTGTTGTGTTTATGCCATTTGTGTTACCCACCCCTTCACAAAGCCTGTCACCCTTATGCGCTTACATTTATTTGTCTTAGTGTTGGGAGTCATCCATTCATCCATTCATTTATTGAGGCCCTGCTCTAGGTCAGACATAATGGCAGGTACTGCGGAGATACCAAAGTGAGTAAGACACAGACCGTGCCCTCAAGTGCTCATAGTCTAGGAGGAAACAGATTCTGCTAATAATTATAAAACTGTGACAAGTGAAATAATAGAAATACATTAAAAGGACAGTTGGTAGCACTGGAGAAAAGAAGGGCTAATTCCCTGGGGATGTAGGTAAAGCTTTACCAGAGGATGTGTTATTTGAATAGAGTTTTGAAGACAGTGTTTATTTGCTAGGGTGGAGAAGGAAAGGAAATTTCTGGTTGGAGAAGGCATCAGCAAAGGTATTAGGGTGGATTTGTGGCAGGTCAAGGAAAGGTGAAGTCAGAGTGCTTGATAGATAGGACTCTAATGTGGAACATTGGGAAGTGAGGCTGGAGAAAGGCTGGGGCTAGATTGTGCAAGGTCTTTTAAGTCAGCCTAAGAGGCTTGCACTTTAGATAGCAAAGAACCAACAGATTTTAAAAATAGGTTTTAATAAGGGAAAACAACTGATGTATGATAAGTTCAGGTCTCAGAGAGTGACAGAAGTCTTTAGGAGCTAAAAGGACAGCACTGATTGAATGACTGGGTAGTTGAGAGAGAAAGAAGAATCTAAGGTGACTCTTTGATTTCCTGCTTGGGAAGTGAGGTGGATATGATACCATCAGCAAGATAGGGAATCAGGAGTAACAGCAATATTACTTAATTCAATTTTAAACTTAAGCATAGGCATGGTAATTATATGAGAGTGAATGAGGTCGAGATCATTCAGGGAATATAAGGAAAGTGGGAAAATGAGAGGATTAAAGTATAATCTCAAGAAAACAGGGGCACCTGGGTGGCTCAGTTGTTAGGCATCTGCCTTCAGCTCAGGTCATGATCCCAGGGTCCTGGGATCGAGCCCCGCACCGGGCTCCCTGCTCCTCGGGAGGCCTGCTTCTCCCTCTCCCACTCCCCCTGCTTGTGTTCCCTCTCTCGCTGTCCCTCTCTCTGTCAAATAAATAAAATCTTAAAAAAAAAAAAAGAAGAAAAGATTAACATTTAAGGGACAGGCTAAAGAAACATCACTGTTGGAATTATCAGAAAGTATATGATGAGATTTAGAATCCTAAGAGGAAGAAAGTTACTGAAGGAAAGAAGATGGTGCCAACTGCTGCAGACATATTTTTTAAGATAAGACTAATAACAGATCATTTGTTTTGGTAAGTCATCGGTGACTTAAAGTAATCTCAGTAAACTGGTGATGGCAGACCTGACGTTATAGTTTAAAGCAGTGCAGGTATTTTTAAAAGTTTGAAATGGAGTCATGGGAAGAGATTTTTCTTTTATGGAGAGACATAAGTTATATGTGCATTTATTCAAGTATTTTTTGAAGACCCTCTGTACGCAAGTCATAGCAAAATAAGCGAGAAGACAGATGTGTCCAGTCCTTCTGGGGGGCTAGGGAGAGAGATACCAAATAACTGGTTACACAATTAATGATTTAATTGCAGTTGGATAAGCGCCCAAAAGGGTAGAGCTAGAATAACTTGACGGCATCATCCAGGGCACTTGGAGTCTGGAGAAGTCAGAGTTGAGCTGAACTTTGAAGAATGAACAGCAATTTAGTAGGCTAAGAAGTATGGTGGAGGTGGGATGAAGAACAAGCAGTCATTCCGGACAGAGAAAGCAGCACGTGGAAAGCTGGGTAGCAGTACGAGCCCTGGCAAAGTTGGGGGGCACTCAAGAGAAGGCCAGTCTGATCAGGGCAGACCGAGCACAAAGGGGGACTGACCTGAGTCAAGGCTGGAGTAAGGCGAGCATGGGCCAGAAAGTACAAAATAGGCATAGGAATTGTGTGATAGGAAGTCACCAGACGGTTATAAAGCAGGAGGGTGACTTGATGAGATTTGCATTTTTTAAGAGAATATTCTGACTATGATACAGAGAGCAGATTGGAAGTGTGTGTGTGTGTGCGTGCGTGTGATGAGTGTGTGTGCACAGGCGCGTGTGTGCGTGTGTGTGTGTGTATGATGAGTGGAGGATACCAGGTGGGTATTTGGATTGAGAGCAAGGAGCTTGAAGGGAATCAAGGAAAAGGAGGGGCTGATTGACAGAATAAGGTCACTGAAGGGGCAAATGGTGGGAAAGCTGTGAAGAGATGCAGACACAGCCTCCACTGAAAAAGGAATGATGAGTGCTGTTCTGGGTCAATCTAGCTGTTCCAAGGAGGGGAAACTGAGTCCCCTTTTGGATCTGTGCTTTAAAAGCAGCTGTAAGGCCTATGAAGTACAGTGATTCTCAGTTTTTATTCTTCTCCCTAGGTATTGAAAATCTCCCCTTCGAACTGCAGAGAAACTTTCAGCTCATGAGGGACCTGGACCAAAGAACAGAGGGTATGTACAGAGTAAGGAGTTTGGGTGTATAATGAGTGTGTATGATCATTTCTTTTTTCTGTTTGGTGTTACCATATCATCTGGTCTGATCTGGAGAACTGTGGCTTCTCTCTCTTTTTTACTCTCTTGCAATTCTTAAAAGGAGAGCAGTGAGGATCTGCATTTCTAGATCAGCGTTTCCATAATAGAGTTTGCAACAATGCCTCAAGAACTCAAAGATGCTCTGTTCTTTATATCTGCAAGAAGAATTCAAAAAGAAGTCAACTCTAGAATCGTTTCTGTTCTCTGTATTCAATATATCTATAGGAAGACTAGGATGTTTCTACTCTGCTGGATTGTTAATGTTTATCACAAAATTCAGTGTGGCTATAGACCGCAAGTCATGTTGATAGAGAAGTTCTTAAAAAGGAAAAAAAGAGAGAAAGAAGAAAAAAAGAAGGAAGAGCAGCAATTAACAACAGGATCTCTACACTGTATTCTTCAACCTTACAGAAGCACTAGATACCATCTGTGGCCTTCCTTGGATGTTGAGCAAATCTGGCTGCATTGAGGCATTCACTTGGAGCCTGAGGCTACACTACAGTGGTCCGATTGGTCTCTTCAAGGGCAAAGATGTCGTCTGTTGGAGCCATGCCCCATACTGGCTGAAGGATATATAGGTCTTACCTTCCATCCTTATGTAGCCATGCTCAAGGATGTGACAAGCTGGTGTTAGAATACCTAAAGCTGTGATTTCAGTTACTCTGGGTAAGTTTACTCATGAAAAGGTGAACATAATGTAAAATCCTGGATGTAGGACACCACCCCCACCGACCCCCCAGCCCCGAGAACTGCCTGGCGGATGTTGAAAACCAGCTTGCTTCCTTTGTATCACAGTCCCTACTCTTGAGTTCGTGCACAGAAAGACCGGTTGGGAGATTATCAAACTCCATGCATTTTCAGCTTCCTCCCAAGGCCTCCCATGAAATGGGGCACGAACATAGTATGTACACAGATCCTTCCAGTTGTCTGTCGCTGCACCATGTTACAGTCACTCTTTTGTTTCTTTTCATCGACATTTTTTATGAGTCCTACCAAACAGTAGGCGGTAGGCATCTACAGTCTCAGTGTCTGGGGACATCGCCAGCCTTCCGATATTAAAATGTTTGGAGCAATGTCTAAGATGAACAAACAGAGAAAAAGTGACGGGAAATACGAGCAGGTTGCAGACGATGAGCAAAGTAGGGTAGGAGAACTGTTACATAAATGAACTAGGGCCTAGTTTTAAATGATGAGTCACAGATGTACAGACCTGGAAGGCGGCCGCAGCAGATGACCCAGCCGGCTTCGCAGCACTCAGAGCTGTTGTGGAATGTTTTTTGAGACAAGAAATCAGGAAGCCTGTGAGACAAGATTCATGGTTCAAGAAGCAGCAAGCCCTGCAAAGAAGCATCTGCAGACACCAACAAAAATATACTTCGTATTAGTGCGGTGTGCAAAGGCTCCCTCCTTATTTTTCACTAACTTCAGTTCGCCTGAAGGCACCTTTAAAACAAATACTGTCAATATGTTGCATTACTTGAGTAAATGGCACAGTACCTATGAACTTTCAGGGCATTTTAGTTCGAAGGTTATGATGCTGGTCAATGGAAAAGGTCCAAGAAACAAGAGGAAGAAGTGTGTTTCATCTAGCCACTCAGGGGCCTTTGTGACCAGGCCTCTGTCTCTGTTGTAGACCTGAAGGCTGAAATTGACAAGTTGGCCACTGAGTATATGAGTAGCGCCCGCAGCCTGAGCTCCGAGGAAAAATTGGCCCTTCTCAAACAGATCCAGGAAGCCTATGGCAAGTGCAAGGAATTTGGTGACGACAAGGTGCAGCTTGCCATGCAGACCTATGAGATGGTATGGCCCTGTTCACGGCTCCCCACCTACCTCCCATCTAATCCTTGGGGTCCTAGACCCCTCCTTCAGCTGTGTCGGGATCTGTTTTGGGTCTGGGAGATACACAGAATGTGCCTTAGCCTTATTTTCTTTTTGCCCAAACCAGCTTTGTAGCTCTCTCTTTTCCTTCCTTGCACCTAGGTGGACAAACACATTCGGCGACTGGACACAGACCTGGCCCGTTTTGAGGCTGATTTGAAGGAGAAGCAGATTGAGTCCAGTGACTATGACAGCTCTTCCAGCAAAGGCAAAAAGAGTGAGGAGGGGGGCGGGGCTAGAGAGGGGGCGGGGTTGCGGAGGGAGAAGCGGCCACACTTCCGCTACGGCTAGGGGAGGGGCTCGAGCAGGAAGACTTAACCCATCTTTCTGTCTCCCTGCCTTCTGGCTTTCCCCCTCTTTCCTAGAAGGCCGGACTCAAAAGGAGAAGAAAGCTGCCCGTGCTCGTTCCAAAGGGAAAAACTCAGATGAAGAAGCTCCCAAAGCTGCCCAAAAGAAGTTGAAACTTGTGCGCACGTGAGTGTACAAGGGGGCGCTTTGCTGCGCAGTGTATTTTTTTCTCCTGCCCCGCACTCCCACCCCACACTGCCCCTTGCCACTCTCTCCATCTTCTGTGCCAGTAACTTCTGTCATTGTGGTATTTGCTGGATAGAAAAGAGACGCCACAAATCACTTGTCCCTCCAGGATGTCTTTCTACCACCTCTCTAGCTTCCCTTTCTGCAGATGACACGTTCTCTTCCTCTCGGCATGCAGAAGTCCTGAGTATGGGATGCCCTCAGTGACCTTTGGCAGTGTCCACCCCTCTGATGTGTTGGATATGCCTGTGGATCCCAACGAACCCACCTATTGCCTTTGTCACCAGGTCTCCTATGGAGAGATGATTGGCTGTGACAACCCTGATGTGAGAACCAACCGTTTTGCCTCCAGATGGGGTTCTGGGGGCCACGAGGGAGCGGGTACAAGAGGGGAAGAAACGGTTGAATAGTGGGACTCCAGAATAACAGGAAGGTGGAGTTGGTTGGCCTTGGGACCTCCAAGATTTCTCCAAAGGGACGGAATACGGGAACACTTCTGAGGAATCTGTGGAGGAAACTTCTTTTCTTTCTTTCCTGTGCCCCGCCTGGGCCCCTGACTTCTGCTTCTTCCATCTTCCTCCTTTTCAGTGTTCCATCGAGTGGTTCCACTTTGCCTGTGTGGGGCTGACGACCAAGCCTCGGGGGAAGTGGTGAGTGGGAGAGTTGTGGCAGGTGCTGGGCTGCCCCTGAGCTGCGTGGAGGAGAGCACTCCCTCTCACTCACTTTCTCCCTCCGCCTCTCTCTGTCACGTTCCTCTCTAGGTTCTGCCCACGCTGCTCCCAGGAACGCAAGAAGAAATAGATAGGGGCCTTGGATTCCCATGGTTTCTTCCACATCCCTGGACCTGGGCTAGTGGGGAGAGGAAAGCCTGTGCTGGGGCCCGGGGGCTCCGGGAGAGTGGATGGCGCCGTGTAGTCATCCCTTCTCCCCTCTCCCCACTCCTGGTGCTGAGGCTGCACCCAAACCCTGGTAGGGAGGGGTGCCGCAGCCGCTAACCGTCTGTGCTCTCATTCAGCCTGCCCCCCTCAGAGGGAAGTGGTCTTGCCCACTGTCCTTTTGCCTCTGTGCTGAGGTTGGTGCTGTATTTCCAAGGGATGGTCCTCTTCACTCCCCTTGCTTTGTATTTAAGGACTGGGGCAGTAGCATGGGGGCACTCCCCAGCTCTCCGGATTCCCTCCCCCTGTGGGGGGGCTCTGGTGTGATAAATTCTCTTTGTTCTCTTCCTGCTTTTTCCATGGTAGGGGATCCCCCAGAGAATCTGGGCTGTGGCCTTAGTTGAAGGGGCACCCCTTCCTCTGTGCCAAGAGGATTCATCCTGGCCTTGTGAGTGGGAGAGGGGGCAAGGTGGAATGCACATACACATGTGTAAAGAAATTTGAGTAGGTGAATAAAAGCTATCCATGTTGGCCTGCTGTGTTTATTGTAGAGACCGTATTTCAGTACGTGTGCTAAACATTTTGTTTGCATCCTCTGGGCTGGATTAGAGGTGGGAGGAAATAGAACAAGACATGAAACCAGAAGCGATACCTCTGCACCAGAGTCCACAACTTCTCACCTTGGGAAGTGCGGGGAGTGCTGCAGCCTGGGGCTTTCCCAGACTTTTAAAATTCTGCATCTTTTCTCCATAAAACATCTTTCACTTAATTTCCAATAAACGTGTACGTGTGTTTTATGCATGTACTATTATACTATTAGCTTGATTTCTTATTTTAAACACAAAACGGAAAAACATTTTGCCCCTATGTCCATGGGTTGTCTTGCTCACCTCCCATTTGGAAACCCCTTCCTTAGACTGAACCATCCTTACACCTGAGCACCTCCTCACCCGAACCCGGCTTGCTTCCCCCTTTGGCTCATTTCTTACCCGGAGGCTCCCTCTAGTTCCTACCCAGATAGGCCCTGACTTTGTTCTGTACACTCCATCCCTGCCTGCCCCAGAGCCCTGCCTACATTCCCATCTAGGCCTCACCACCCAATAGGCAGATTGGTTCTCCAAACCCCGGTTTTGTCATCTGTAATGTAGGGATGACAGTACCCACTTGGTAGGATTACCTCGGGAATGCAATAAGGTGATACATACAAAGAACAGCACGGGGCCTACTCCGTCGAAGGTACTGAGTCCGTGATGGCTTTTGCCGTCATTATCCTCCGGGGTGGAATATGACACACGTGAGGACCCTTGCACCCTTCCCCGCCCCCCCGCCCCCCCGTGCCGGCGCGGTGAACCCCAGAGCGCGCGGCGGTTTCCGCGGCCCCGCCCCCTGCCCTTTGTGACGTCGGGGCCGCACCTTCTACTCCCCCATCGGCGAGCCCGAGCCCGCGGCTCTCTCTGGCTTGGCCCGTTAGAGGCCGCTTTGGTCCGGGAAACGCGGGCGGATCGACTGGGGCCATGAGGAAGCTAGCCGCTGGCTTCCCTCTCTCACTCCTCGAGGGTGAGAGGTTCCCGCCTACTCGAGCAGTCTCTTTCTCCCGGGGTTCAGTCCTCCACCTCCCAAGCGCCCTTGCTATAAGGTTTTGAAACGCTTTCTCAGGGTGGTCACGTTGGGTTTACTCCCTAGCTTCTGGGCTCAGACCCTACCCGCTGCCCCTGGAATCTCCTCCCTGATCTGGGGGGATCGCCTGCCAGACATCCCCCAGTTGCTGATTTCCACGGGGCCCGTTTGCCAGTCGGTCTGCCCAGGGCCCGAGGCGGGTTTTGGAGTTCGGTCCATCCATCCGTCTGTTTCCCTGCCCCGCAGGGCTGCTCTTGCTTCTGACACCTGCCCCAGCCCAGGATTCAATTTCGGCCTCCACGCCAGGCAGCCCTCTCTCTCCCACCGAATATGAACGCTTCTTCGCACTGCTGACCCCAACCTGGAAAGCAGAGACTACCTGCCGTCTCCGGGCAACGCACGGCTGCCGGAACCCCACCCTCGTCCAGCTGGACCAATACGAAAATCACGGCTTGGTTCCGGACGGTGAGGGCCAGACTAGTGGGGCAGCCCCGTGCTCGCTTGAGACCGGAGGATTATGGCCGGCTCCTTACGCTGGGGCCATGTTCTCCACTCTGCAGACCCAAGGAGCCCACCGCCCCCTCCCCCTCGGGGAGAGAGGTTCCCCCTTGTGTGTGTTCACCTTCTCCACCCCTGCCCATTCTCAGGCGCTGTCTGCTCCGACCTCCCGTATGCCTCCTGGTTTGAGTCCTTCTGCCAATTTACTCAGTATCGTTGCTCCAACCATGTCTACTACGCCAAGGTGAGGCTCGGGACAAAGGTTGGACGTGGTGTCCGAGGACCACGGGGGAGTTCTGGGGGGAGGGGGGAGGTGAGGCGTTGAGGAAGGGCTCCAGGAGGGCCATCCTGAGATCCTCCCTCCCTGCCACTTTGCCAGTCCTTTCCTCGGAGTAGGTAGGAGTGCAGTCTCATCTTGGGCGTTCAGACTGTCGGAATAGTCTTGTTCCTGCAAGAAAAGCAGGGAAGAGGGCAGAGGAGAGGCAAAGGGACAAGGCCTCCCCTTTCTTCTAATACTTGAGTGATTTCTTTCAAGTCAAACACAAGAGTGAAGGCAGAGGTGTGGCCCAGACACTGAGTCTTCTCTCGCAGGGGAACCCTTTCTCAGGTTTAGAGGGTTCCACCAGGGACCATATCCCTTCATCCCTGCCCAGCAACTGCGAGAGAGGAGACATGCCAGAAAAGGACCGAGCCGGACGCTGGAGTACAAGTCCGCCCTATGGGAAGCATGCCCACTGTCCTTCTCTTCTTGCAGAGGGTCCGGTGCTCCCAACCAGTCTCAATCCTCTCACCTAACACTCTCAAGGAGATTGACACTTCCTCTGATGTCCCTCCCACCACGATGAGCTCCCCGCTCTCATCTCACATCACAGGTGAGACCCTGCCAGTACCTGGGAGACTACCTGCAAGCCCTTCCACAAATCCCAGAGCCCAGGAGTTAAGGCATCGGCGGTAGGGAATGGGGAAGAATGTTGAGCAGGGCTGGGGGGTGGGGGGCTGGCAGCATGCAACTAGTTACATAAGGCCGGAGACTGCTTTTTATGAATACAAGGTGGGGCTTTCCCGTCCGGGAGTATCTTCTGACATTGCATACAATTCTAGGAAAAATTCACTTTTCCCAGCTCCCCCAAACATTCCTGCGTCTGGAAGTCCTCTGGGACTTTTATAAGCCGCCATCTTCACTCTAGAAAGGATTCGTTGCTCCCCATTCAGCATCTTTGGTGTTTCCTAAGTGAGAGGGACAAAAGGTAGGATTTGAGGTGGGAGCTAGGGAAGAGGAGCACTTGTCGGGGAGGTGGAAAGGAGACCCACAGTTGCCGTAATCGCCATGGCAATTTTTCTTTTCTTTTCATATTCATTTCATATTTATTTCATATTCATATTTTATATTCATATTCTTTTATTTTCATATTCGTCCCTCTCGGGGGCCAGAAGCCTGACTCTTCCTTCCCATTTTCTTTCTCTGTCCTTCCCAAACCCTTCTGCAGCCACAGAACGACAGGCCTTCCAGCCCTGGCCCGAGAGGCTCAACAACAACGTGGAGGAGCTGCTACAGTCCTCCCTGTCCCTGGGGGGCCAGGAGCGCACGCAGGAGCAAGGGCAGGAGCGCACGCAGGAGCAAGGGCAGGAGCGCACGCAGGAGCAAGGGCAGGAGCGCACGCAGGAGCAAGGGCAGGAGCAAGAAGAGCAAGAAGAGGAGCTGGAGGAGGAGGGGAAGAAAGAGGAAGGACAGGGGGCAGAAGAGGGACTGGAGTCAATGGCTGGGCTGCAGACAGACCGAGAGCTCAAGTTCCAGTCTGAATTTGTGTCTTCCAACCCTTTCTCCTTCACTCCCCGGGTCCGGGAAGTGGAGTCCACTCCTGTGATGATGGAGAACATCCAGGAGCTCATCCGATCAGCCCAGGAAATGGATGAAATGAATGATCTGTATGATGAAGAGCCTGGCTGGAAAAAGCCAACCCGGGACAGGTACAGGCCGTTCTGACCCACGCACCCTGGCCACGGCCCTATCCCCGCTGCTGCCTTTTTTGGGAAGGAGAAGCTCCCTCTTCCCAGCCTCGGCTTCCAAGACCCACTCGGACCTGCTTGGGCTTCAGGCGCGCCTAGCAGCTGTCTGCCTCACCTCTTCTGTCTCCGTCACTGCCTTAAGCACTGTCCTAGATGCCCTTGCTCTGTGTGACGGGGTGGTGTGGGCCCTGGACCTGGGCCTGGGTTCTGGTCTTGTCTCTGCCTCTGATTGCCATTGCAGCTTTGGGGAGGATTACTTCCCCTTTCTGTTTCTCAGTTCCTCATTTGTGAAAGGAGGCAGTTGGCCTGGAGGCCTCTAAAGCCCCATCAGCATGCTGAATGTGTGTGACCAAGACCAGACACCAAGGTGGGGGGGTGGGGGAAGAGTGGATGTGGCTCTCTGCTCCAGCCCTCCGGCCCATCCCCACCAGCCAGCGCTGTCTTCTTGCAGCCTCCTGCAGATGCCCCATGTAGAGGCCTTGCTGGTGCTATGCTACTCGATTGTGGAGAACACCTGCACCATAACCCCCACAGCCAGGGCCTGGCAGTACATAGAGGAGGAGCTCCTTGGCTTCGGGAAGCCGGTATGCCTGCAATGCTGTTTAATGGATACATGCTCGTCGGCCATCCTCTGGGCCTGGCACTAGACTGGGCCTTGAGAGTGAGGGGGGAAGGCAGGGGTACAGAAAGCACGAGGCATCATTGGAGAGACATTCTCTCTGAGTGAGAATCTTTCTTTGGGAGGTCATCTCCGGCTCACCTTAAAGGAAAAAGGCCCAAGACCTAGTCTGGAATCCTTTCCAGTCCAGAGTTCAGTCTTCATCTCTCTGAGCTGTTAGGCTTGAGTTGTATCCTGAGCTAGTTCACCATCTTCAATACCTGGCTTTGCCTTGGATGCAGGTCTCCTTTCCAGGGGGGCCATAGATCCCGTTCCAAGGATCTGTAGAGAGATCCCAGTCTCAGTGTGCCCTCAGCACCCAGCGAATCCTATTCCCAGGAAGATATTCTGTAGGCTTTCAAATAAGACAAGTTAGCAAGCACTTGTTAAGAGTGAGCATGCCCTCCATTCATCCGTTTGTTCAATATTGCATAGTGCCAGGCCCAGAGTATGGCCAACGAGCAAGTTAAATAATTGACTTTTTAGTATAGCGTACCAACTCTGTGCTAGTACTAGTACTCGAGATGTTGGTGACGGGTAAAATAGAACCAGTCTTCTTAGACTAGTGGGAGAAACAGATGAGGTAACAGGCAGAATAGTGTGATGGATAAATGCAGCCATGGATAAGTACATAGTCCAGATGCAGCAGATGGGGCACCCCACGGTCCACATTTGGGAGGATCAGAGAATTCTTAGAGGAACCAATGTTTAAAACAGAGACCTGAAGATGAAAGACGTTAAGCAGGCAAAAGAAGGGGTTTGGTAGAGGTTCCTGCGAGAGGGAATAGTAGGGCACCAAGAATGAGCAAACTGCTCCCGCCCTTAAGGGGTCTGAAAGCCTGAGGGATTCAGTAGCATTATAAAAGAAGTGCGCAGTAGGTGTTGGAGAGAGACTTTTCTTTTTAAGATTTTATTTATTTATTTGAGAGAGAGCATGGGGGTGCAGGGCAGAAGGAGAAGCAGACTCGCCGCTGAAAGGAGAGCCCCATGTGGGCCTCGAGCCCAGGACCCTGGGATCATGACCTGAGCCAAAGGCAGACGCTTCACCACCTGAGCCACCCAGGTGCCCCCTGAGACTTTTTTTTTTTTTAGTGTAGGAAGTTCAGGAGTCATGGAGAGCTCCCTGGATATCGGGGTTTGGTTAAGGGACCAGTCAGGGGCCCATTTTTACCCGGAGCAGAGGGGCAGGAGATAGAGTCAGAGAGATAGGAAGGGTCCTAAGGTGAAAAATCTCAAACAACGGTCTGAAGCATTTGTATTGAACTCGGTAGGAAGCGCTAACCCGATAACGATTTGAGTCAAGGACATGATGATGCTCCCTTACGTGCTGGTGTGAGGAGTAAGCAAGGTGACCTAAGAGATTCTGTGCACTGTGACGTGTGTACCCATGCGTGAAGGGGGAGGATGGCATGAATGGGACATGCTGGTTAGCAAGCCCCAGCTATGCGGGGGAATGCGGAGGAAGCCCAGTCAGGGCGCAGCCCACAGCTAGGCAATGGGTAACTCTGCTCTGAAGAGTGTCTTCCAAGAACTTGGAGGTTTTGGACCTGGGTTCTGGGGTAGAGTGTAGGTTTGGGAGTTAGCAGGGATAGAGCTCCACCATCTGTTAGACACGTGGTTCTGAGCAGATCTCTCAGCCTCAACTGAGCCCATTTCCTCGTCAGTCAAATGGAGATGTTTCTAGCACCTAGTCTAGCACAGGGCTCTGGTGAAGGCTCACTGAGACGAGAGTGTTTATGGCCATGGTGCTTAGCACTGTGTCGACTGTGTAGATATTAGCATTATCATTAGCAGAGAGAGGGAAAGAGAAGGTCATGAGTCCTTTTCAGAGTCTAAGGAGTGATTGCAAATCTTAAAAAAAAATTGGGGGCACCTGGGTGGCTCAGTTCGTTAAGCATCTACCTTCGGCTCAGGTCATGATCCCAGGGTCCTGGGATTGAGTCCCGAGTCGGGCTCCCTGTTCAGCGGGGAGTCTGCTTCTCCCTCTCCCTCTGCCCCTCCCCACTTCTTGTGTGCGCGCTCTCTCTCAAATAAATAAATAAATTCCTTAAAAAAAAAAAAAGGAGTGCCTGTAGGTCACCTAGTGGGAGACATCTGTCAGGTACTTGGCAATGAGGATTTGGAGCTCAGGAAAGAGATTGGAAAGGATGATATGATTTGGGTGTTGCCTGCAGAAAGGTGAAGGTTACCTGGGAGTACACACATCAGGAAGAAGGTGAAGAGTTAGAACACTGAGCAGAGGTCCTGGAGGAGCCGTTGGGGAGGGGTCAGGGAGGAAAGCCAGAGAAGCCTTCGGAAGAGCCTTACTGGGAAGGCATTCTGCGGAGATGGTTCTGCAGGGCTGAAAGTGTCTTCAGCCTCAGTCTGTCAACCATACCCCTGCCCCAGGTCTGTGACAGCCTTGGGCGGCGACACACAGCCACCTGTGCCCTCTGTGACTTCTGCTCCCTGAAGCTGGAACAGTGCCACTCGGAGGCGGTCCTGCAGCGACAGCTGTGTGACAACTCACACAAAACACCCTTCATCAGCCCCTTGCTCATAGCCCAGAGCATGTCCATCGGTACTCAGGTACCTAGCCAGGCAGCCTGCAGTGGGGGAGGCCTCAGGCTCCAGGAAGGACTGGGCAGTAGTGGGAAGGGAGGTCTGCACGGGGGCAGGGGTGTGCACGTCTCCCCTGTCCCCTGTGCCACAGGTAGGGACGCCAACATCAGGCCGCTTCTACGGGCTGGATATGTATGGCGGACTCCGCATGGACTTCTGGTGCGCCCGGCTGGCCACCAAGGGCTGTGAAGATATTCGGGTGTCCAGCTGGCTCCAGACAGAATTCCTTAGCTTCCAGGATGGGGATTTCCCCACCAAGGTCAGAGCCTTTCCCCAAAGCTCAACCCTACCCCAGTTGTCCCCATTCCTTCCAGTTCCTTGCTCTAAGTAGCCCTAAGATGTGCCAGGGGGCTAGGCCTCTGGCTTCTGGGGAACCAGTCCTCACTGAGCCTCCTGCCTCTTTCCAATAGACACCCTTCCACCCCCTACCCCCTCTCAAAAAAAAAAAAAAAAAAAAGAGCAGGATTGTGTTTGTGAAAGGAGCAGGAATCAGAGGGGCGGAGGGGCTGGGAGAGCACAGGCCTGGGAGGCAGGAGACAGAGGTTCTGATCCCGGCTCTGCAGGGTCCCTGCTGAGGGGCTCTGGTCAAGTCACTTCCCAAACTGGCCCAAAGTTAGACTCACCTTTACAACCAATGCTGAGGGGATGCCCGAGTTGTCATGGGCCTGTGACCCAGTGCTGCCCTGCCTCAGTCTGGCGGGCTCCTTGCCCTACAGTTCCAGCACTTTCCCTGCTCAGTGGAATCAACTTTGCTCCCTCTCTCCCCAGAGTGACCTCCCCTGTGGAGCTACTAGTTGTTGACTGACAGCCAGGTCCCTCCCTCCTGCGGTTTAGCAGGAAAAGTCAAGGCCAGGAAAAGCCAGGGCAGCTTAAGAAAGGGTTGGTAGCCGAGATGAGGGGCCCCTTCCCAGCTCTTATCCCTGGGCCTGAGGAGAGGTAGACCCTAGAAAGGGTCTCAGAGATCATCCCTCCTCCTCCCCTGGATTTATAGATGGGGAGGCGAGATCCACAGAGGGAAGTGATTCACCCAAGGTCACACATTAGAGATTCTTCTACCCTCCCCCTCACTTAACCATCACTAGAAGTCTCCCTGAGATTGGACCCCTGCTTGGGCCCCCTTCCCCATTCCCTACTCCTCAGCAACTTGCCCAGCAAGCTGACCAGCAGGGCAGCCACTGAATTCTCCGGCTCCTGGCTTCTGTTCAGCACTGAACTGTGAATGAGGGTGGGACAGGAAAGGTACAGGGGACAGAGGCCTATTCCTCAGAGAAGGGGGCACCCCGGGTGTAGAAGGTCTTGTTATCAAGGGCTCCACCTCTGGCCCTGGTTCGGCCATTATGGGCTCTCTCTGGAGGACTGGCATCTTAGAAGGCTTCTGATGTCTCCGCACCTCCCCATTCCTGGCTCCTGGCTTAGATTTGTGACACAGACTATGTACAGTATCCAAACTACTGTACCTTCAAAAGCCAACAGTGCCTGATGAGAAGCCGGGACCGGAAGGTAAGCCCCGCCCCCTGCCCCCTACTTCTCCCCTCAGCCCCTCAGTCAGTCACCAGAGGGGGGTCTATTCTGAGCACACACACACACACACACACACAGACACACACTCCGCTCTGCTCTGAGCAGGGGTGAGAACAGTTCCCAGCTTGCCTCTCTGGGCTGAGGCCTCCACCAGAGCCCTCTCTCCCACCCCCTCCTGTCTTGGAGTAAGCGAGGCCCTCCCTCCAAGGCAGAGGTGGGGGGAGGGGTCCAGGAGGGATGTGCAAATAAAAGGAGAGGGCCCTTGGGGCACCACAGCAAGAACCCCTAGCTGGGTTGGGCATTGGATATTGAGGTCTGGACTCTTACTCACCAAGTAGTCTGGAATAAGTCACTTCCTTTTCCATCCTCAGCCTCCTCGCTTCTTAGAGGTTGGGCTACTTGGTGTGTCTTGCAGCCTTAAAAACCCACATTTGTTTCCTCCTTCCTCCGACTGCCCTGTGCCTGTCTCCGCTCGCCTCTGGTTCCTGTGGGACTAATGCCACTTCCCCACCTCCGCGCCTCTGCCCCCTGGGCTCTGTGACACAGACTGTGTGTCCCCGATCCCTGTGTAGGTGTCCCGGATGAGATGTCTGCAGAACGAGACTTACAGCATCTTGAGCCAGGCCAAAAGTGAGGACCTTGTGCTTCGATGGAGCCAGGAATTTAGTACCTTGACTCTAGGCCAAGCTGGATGAGCTGGGGTCCATACTGTCTTCACCCCAGCCCGACTTTTCCGCATTCCATTGCTCTTAGACCCCATCTGTCAGTTTGCTTCCTGGCTGCCCCTTATGGGTCTCTTATCTGGCCCCTACTCACTTTCCTTGGGTTGGGGCAGCAGTCCCAGAGAGGCCCATGTTGAGAACGCCACCCGCCTTAAAGGATGTCTTTGCATAAAGTGTTTATTTTCAACCTGTGTGGCCTACTTTGGTTATGATCCCATACTCAGCACTGCCATCCTGCCCCCTTGGGAATCAACACTCCAACCCCTGGGATTTCTGGATCCGTCTGAAGATGAAAGGACCTCACGAATGGTACTCAGGGAAGTAGCCAACTGCCAGGAGACCTAAGGAATCTGGTGGTTGGATTGAAGAAGGCCATGGCTGGGGTCTTAGGGATTGTGTGGGCCATGAGGGCGTGTGTCTTCATTTCTGAAGCCCGTAACTTCAGATGAGTATAAGATTGTCCCTCTGGAGGATAAAGGCCAGAGCCTGCCTGAGATCATGTCCCGGGGGTGGGGGGAATAACCCCAGGGAAGTAGGGCAGAACTTGCGCTTCATCAGGAGGGAGGAGACATCCGGGACCTGGAGCTCAGGAAACCCTTGATCTGACATCCTGTGATGGGCCAGATGATCTGAACTTTGAGGTGGTCACATCTTGACAACATACGTTGAGGTGTGACTCCAGCATTGGTCATTAATAACTTGGGATCTTCCAAAATGTGTTCCAGGGACACACATGTTCAGGAAACTGTACAGTCTCTCCTCCTACAGGTACACGGTGATTAACAGCATTAAAAAAAAAAAAAAAAAGTGTCTTTTATGGAGAAGTTCAAACTTGCACAAAAATAGAATAGTATAATGCACCCTGTACACCCTTCACCCAGCTTCACTTATGAACACATGGTCAATCTTCTAATGGCATGGTAAAGACCGTCAGAAGTCCTGTCATAGGGGCACCTGGGTGGCTCGGTTGGTTGGGCGACTGCCTCCGGCTCGGGTCATGATCCCGGAGTCCCGGGATCGAGTCCCGCAACAGGCTCCCTGCTCAGCGAGGAGCTTGCTTCTCCCTCTGACCCTACCCCCTCTCATGTACTCTCTCTCTCTCTCTCATTTTCGCTCTCTCAAATAAATCTTTAAAAAAAAATCGGGGTGCCTGGGGGGCTCAGTCGTTGAGCGTCTGCCTTCGGCTCAGGTCATGGTCCCGGGGTCTAGGGATCGAGCCCCGCATCGGGCTCCCGGCTCTGCGGGAGGCCTGCTTCTCCCTCTCGCAACCCCCCTGCTTGTGTTCCCTCTCTCGCTGTGTCTCTCACTGTCAAATGAATAAAATCTTAAAAAAAAAAAAAAAAAAGAAGTCCTGTCATAGAGAAACCTGTTCAGCGTAGTGTTTCTCAGACTTACTTGACTGCAATATCTTTTTTACCTACACTCTGTATTGGGCATGGACAACATGCCCAGCCTTGTTGATGCAGAAAGTAAGGGGCCCAGCCAGAGGGTGCAGAACAAGGGGCTACCATCTGAGTCCCCCGTCCCCCAGAGCTCACAGCCTACAGGAGCCAGAGAGAAGCAAGGAGGAATGGCCCCAGGCAGGGAGGGGCATGCCCATGAACGGCAAGAGCAAAACTACCTGCTGGAACCCAAAAGAGAAAGAGACACCCAGGAGGAACTGGTGTAAGTACAGCTCGGGGTGGGTGGTTAGTCATCTAGCATCAGCGGGTGGGTGTGCCAGTTGAGCTTCCCGGAAGCTAGGGAGTGTGTGAGCAGTGGGTGGGGGGAGGCATTAGTAGGCAAGAACTGGGGCTGGACTGAGTGCCATTCTCGGCTGGGCTTTCTGCACTGACCGGCTGCAAAGGCCACTGAGGGCATTGCTTCCTCTCTCTCCCTGCCCCGAGTGGGGTTGGGTGAGTGCAGGGAGCTGGGACACGCTGAGATCTGCCAGGACAGCGTGTCCCCACCCACCTCAGGAGCAGGTCCTACCAGCCCAGCCAAGCCCAGAGCAGGCAGCGGAAGCCACAGGGAGCACAGGTATGGGGCTGTCACCGGTGGGGTTGAACTTGGCAGGGGGCACAAGTCCCACCTTTAGATTGGGGTTCATGGGTGGGGATGGAGATAAGAGTGCGCCATGGGACCTGGAGAACCTTTTTGAATAGAATGAAAAGCTAAAAGGGGAGCGAGCCAGGGGAGGCAGCCACCACACTTGGCACACCCGGGAGTGCCCCTCTGAAGCCCGAGGCCCCCACACTGGAGCATCTTGGGGAGATGTGTCTTCTCCTCCCCCCCCCCGAAGCCCCCATGGTTCTGCTGAACCCTGGGCTTCCCACAGCCACTGAGGAGGGCTCTCTGGGGGTGGTGTCTAGCCCTTTCCCACTCTCAGAGAAAACTTAACTCCCGGACCCCCCCTCCCCCCAGGTCAAACCCTCTGCTAGATGACAACAAACTCATTGATTAAACTCCACTAATGGGTTTCCTGGCACAGATGTGTTCTTGCGGTTATCCTTCCCAGCTAACCAAGGTATATCTTAATGGAGTCTTTGAGAAACACCGCTTAAACCCAGTGCGTCCATCTTCTATATGAGAAGATTAGACGAGACGGTCTCTGATGTCCCTGTAACTCTGATAGAAGGTGGCTCGTGAGTGGCATGAAGGGGAAGGAATTTCAGATATTGAGCACAGGTGGGGGAACTATCTGAAGGTCGGCAAGGCCTTAGGATAACTTTGGATCACACTACTACGGGCAGCTGCCTACTTCTTACCTATATTTACGGGAGCCCCCATGACAAGAAGGGGAACCCCCACCAGGTTGTATCTCCGGCTCCTTTTAGGGTGAGGAAGTTGTAGCCCCAGGGGGAGATGGAGGCAAGGACTGAGGGAAAAATAGGAACTTGCCCATACCTGTAAGCCTCACTTCCTGGCCACTCAAGAGACACTAGAGCCCAGCTCCCTCTGTCTCTGCCTGATGTTGTTGCCCCCCGCACTCAGCCTGCTGCCCCCAGAATATACCCCAGCAACATAGACACCTTGTGTGTGTGGGGGGGTGGGGGGACACCAGAAGGAGGCAGCAGAAAGGGGGAGGGCGAAGCCAGAGGCATGCAAGAAGTGCTGCACAAGTTCAGAGCAAGGTCACAGATGAGAAGTCTCTGGCTTTCTCTGCGGGGGCAGGACCCATCCAGGCCCCAAAGCAGGGGTAAGATGTGCACGGACGACTCAGGCCACAGGGCTGTGGCTGCGGGCTGATCCGGTCCAAGCGACTTCTCTGTATGGTGACTTTATTTCCTGTTTTTCCAGCTCCTGAAAGCAGGGTGCAGGGAGATGTGCAGGTGGTGAGGTGACATCCACACACAGGGGAAACCAATTCCTGAGCTGTAGGCCACCTTTGCTTTCTGCTTTTGCCCAGAAAAAAATGGGAGAGATGAGGTCAGAATACCCAGGGAGAGAAGACATGGCGGAGGATGATACTGGATGATGCAGGAAGAGACAGGCTGAGGTGGGCCAGGTGGGGAGAGGCTGGAGCAGGAATTTTGGCTGGAGAAGCAGAGCAGGCCTGGAACAGGAAGAGGGACCATGGAGATAGGGCACAATAGCCGCGGGGGGCCTGTGTGTCCCCCCCATTCCCCCCAGGGAAGGAAGAGGCCGTCCACTCACTGTGGTGACGTTGTACTACCTCTGTGCCATAGACCCCAGGCGAGCTTACACTTTGGTAAGCTTCTGCTGGAGGCTCCTGCCTAGTTTGGGTCTGTCTGGGGTCTGAACATACACGTATTAAGACGTATAATTTAGGGGCACCTGGGTGGCTCAGTCGGTTAAGCATCTGCCTTCGGCTCAGGTCATGATACCAGGGTCCTGGGATCGAGTCCCACGTCAGGCTCCCTGCTCGGCGGGGAGCCTGCTTCTCCCTCCCCCTCGCCCCCCCGCCCAGCTCGTGCATGCGCATGCTCTCTCTCTCTCAAATAAATAACATCTTTTAAAAAGGGGGTATAATTTAGAATTAAGCCTGTCTGTGGGCAAAAGGTGCATCCTCCCAATGCTGCCTGCACACAGCGGCAGAAGTGAACTTAGCTAACAGGGCGGTTAGAACGCACAGGGGGGGAACGCACTGGCTGGCTGTGACTTCCAGCTGTGGCCTTCGGAATCTAAAATGAGGTTTGGGGCTGTTCTAGAACAGATCTTCTGGGGCAAGGAGAATGAGATCTGAGAGTCCTTCTTTTCAAACTTCTGGAGGATGTGAATGACTAAAGAGAGGAGACAGAGCAAGGCATTTGGCAGATGTGCAGGAGGGGTGGGGGGGGTGCGCATGGAGAGTGTGGTGGACAGGAGGAAGCTGGACAAAGAAGAGTTATTTCTCTCCCCTCCCTGCCCCCATCATCGTCCCAAATCACCTATTCCTTTCTCTTCAACCCTCTCTGCAAGGCTGGTCAGCCTCCAGAAGGGTGGGTAGGCACAGGCAGGTTGTGTGGAGGAGCGGGAGGGATGACCGTGACCTAGCCTCCTGCCCATTTTTACTCAATTCTCACTTCCTGCCTGGCAGAAAATAGCTCTGTCCCTCTGGCTTATCTCAGCAGAGAGCAGTGCCCAGCCCAGCTCAGAGGGCAATGGGACAGGCCCGAGAGTCCCTGAGGCCGTCAGGAACCTAGGCCTCGCATGAGCAGGTAGGAAGCTGAAAGAGACGGGGGGAGGAGGAAGGCGGCTGTCCAGGCTCCGGTGCGTGAGTGGTGTGGAGGGCGGGTGCTGTGCACTGGGCAGTCCCCAGCGTGCTTCCCTGGCCCCTCAGGATCTTGGCGCTGGGATCTGTTCATGCACCTCTGCGTGGGGATGTGCTCCCAAGGCTGCCTGATGCTCTGTCCGGGTAAGAATATTGTCCCTAAGGTCAGGGCTGTGTTTGCTCTTCCTTCTGTGGCCTAGCTGTCCACGCCTCCGTGCATGCACCCACTTGTGTGTTAGCGGGTGTGTATATATAGTGATTGTGTGTTAGCAGGGATCTTGCGTGCACGTCTCTTAGTGTGCCTACACGTCTGTGTGTCTTTGCACATGCACACATGTGTAGTGCTCTGCTCGTTACCACATCCGTGCGCATGGAGCTTATTGAGATGATGTGGGCCTCCTGGTCCCTCCTCCTCTCTGGTGACACGAAGCCTCGGTGTTCGTTCTTTTCTGGGACAGCTGCTGTGTCTTCGCTTCCTCCACCTCCTCTACAACCTGA